AGTATTACATATATCTTTGGTTGTGGTGTTAACGATCATCATTGCCACCAGCATTTCCAACGCCATCAGAACTATCTTCAATTGTATACGGTGAATAAATTAACGGAAATAGCTATACGAGTCGTTTGTTATTTCCTGAGAATCTCTACGGTCGAGGTAAGCGACTTCATCTCAAACGATGCATTGGCGCCCGCAGGACTGGCCTCACCAGGATGGCCAGAATAATATAACAGCCACATAACTAGCAAAAGGCACAATTACGTAGCTACAGGCGCCAGGTGGTCGCAAGCCATAGGCGTCACGCGTACGGAAGCGGAATGTTACAATCGAACGCCAAAAAAGGAAAGCAGTTTCCCCGAGCTTCGACTGGTATTGTTACCCGTAACGTAAATTCGCAGTCAATCACGCTTCTGTTTTCACGGTAAAGCTGCGATTTTTCGAGAACAAGCATGACGATCCGCTGCCAGCGAAAGTACCCTAAGTTTATTAAAAAATCAAATCTATGGTATGCCTTTGTTAAACTGGTTTATCGAGAGTCTGGGTAATTTTGTCGCGTTTTACGTTTCACAGAATCAGAGAAAATCCTAGATTGCTTAAAGCAGTCTGGTATTTACGTTGGTGTTCTAGTTTGAAGATGTGCTACAATACCTCAATAATAGCACTAGATGATGTCTAGCATAAGTAATTAGGGAAAACCATTGCATAGAAGTGTTGTTCTGGACACCAAAATTCAAAATACAGCGATTTGCCCCGGGTGGCGAATCGATTTGCCTCGGAATAAAGTTAAACATCAAAATCATTTGACAGATATACATGTATAAAGTTTCGGTTCTTGCTACGACGCTTGGCTTGGGGCAAATCTGTCTTTTTCTGATACGATGGTTTAGCTTTCAGAAAAATGCCACTACCGCAGGCGAGTGTACGCCGAATGTGGCTTTGTACTTAATAGATAAGGAACAACCGATAATGTCGAAGAATCATAAGCTACTTGTGGGAGGATCAGCGCCTGATTTTAGGTGCTGACCAGGATTCACTTTTAAGGCAATTGTTGTGTGGTCTGCGTCTACAACGTTTCGAGTTTTTGTGCGATTGCGTTCACAAGAACAATCGAGTGTATAATATTTTTAAGGTCACAAATTAATCCAAGGGTACCCCCACTGGATTTTTTGGATAGATTTGTGACCTTCTGACGAAAAAAACTAAATTTTTTGCTAAAATTTTTGCCTTAGATAAGTTTGGGTGCTATGATCAAAAATCGTATCCGACATTCCAAGAATTTTTCAATTTTTCTACAGCTTTGTTTTAATTATATTCCTAACTGCTACAACGCAAATGTAAGCGTTAAGAAATATCGCTTCTTCCATATTCGTTTCAAGTATCACCTAAAATGGGATTCTTTGTTGCTTTATTAAGCAATTCGAAAAGTTCACATTTACAAAAATGTTGGTTTTTAGAAGAAAAAAAATTGAAAGATCACCAGTTTTTTGGAGGTCCTGTCGGACAAACGTTCGACGTAGAGATACATATAATCAAAGTACAGAATTACCTTTGCTTTCGTCCCTTTGTACAGCCTTTGAAGAAATTATGTGAGGATGCTATGCTTATACTGGCCTCATAGGCTTGCAATACCGAATTAGAACTGATGTCCTTTCAATCAGATTGAATTTTATTACTAGGTAAGCAGCTGTTGCGTTTTGTTTCCCTGCAAACACAGTAAACATAGAACGGGAGCTGAATATGGGCAGGAACTGCAAAGTGTTCACAAATCAATAAGTCCTGATCTAGTTTTAGCTTGGAGAAGGGTAAGCCTTGAGTCTATACGAGGATCTTTTTTGGTGTCCGCGTTAGCTTATGTAGTGTCTCAAGTATTACAATTTTAGCCGTGAAAATGCTTTTAGTTCTCCAATAAAGTGCACATGTATTAAATAGAGTACACTGGGTTTATTTCTGAAAACAGATCGCAGACATAAAACGAAAAACAAAATCAAACAAAATCACAAAAAGAAAAAATCGTACAGTTTATAGCCGATACTAACCAAATTGTGGAATTTCCACAAAAATAACAATTTAGTGTATGTTTTATCTTCGTAAAGTAAACCATGTGCATTCGTTGAATGTGACTGCGTTCCTACATACACGTAACATTAGCTTTGTATGTAAAATCCCTAAGACTATTTCCAGAATAAGGAAAAAGAACAACTAAGATACTATACTTATTGTCGAAAGCTGTGAAATAAAATGTTGTCTAGTTTTAATATGTTATTAACGTGGATAAAGAACATCGAGCCTTCCTGATAAGTTTGTATTGTTTTAGCATTTCAAACAAACAGACATTTCCCAATGATATTGATAATGACGTAAACATGTACGAAGGAGCAATTAAAGTCATATATGGTGGAAATGCTTCAAAAAAAAACAAAGAAGATATTGGCGCTCAAGGCGATAACATTAGTTTACGTTCTCGCAAATTACGGAAATCGTATCTGTGCTTTTAGGAACCGACCTATTTGAATCTTGACACAAGCTTACATCGAACGGTTATCTATTACCAGAAGTGCTGCTGGTGAAGGGAAGTTGGCATTAAAGCCATCGATGGTTCCAGCGAAGTGCGCGTACGCCGCCGACGTACGCAGTCGAGTGACTGTTTTACGCAACCGTATAGGATCAGTTAACGCCAGATTTTTTTGAAGAAGTCAGTCGAGACTTCAGTGTGCAGGAGGTGAAGTCTACTATAAGCAGGCTTCGTCGCAACAAGGCAGCTGGCCTAATTTAGTCTGTAACGAGCACCTCGAACAAGCCTTCGTTCTCGCTACCCGCTGTACACCCCTTTTTATTGCATGTCCATTGAAATGGCAAAAATCAATTCTCAGTAAAACATCAGCAATTTATAGAAGGGAGTCAAAAAGCCCCATCGGCAAGTAAAACTATTTTTCGTATGCCAAGAATTATATAATTCTTGATAATTCTGGCACTTCCAGCAAGCGCTAGTTATCTTCAAAGACAAATTGAGTTTCAAAATTATCTTGCAAAATTTACGACTAAGTTTCGTCGCAGAGATGCGCTAGTACGAGAGACCCACTGGGGTCTATCGGCAGGGGAGTTCAGTGTACTGATTCTTTCACTTACGTGTAATGGAATAACGCCGAATCTGGGCGATCATTCGGAAAATATATTTCAAAAATTGCACCGATAAAAGATTCGTACAAGCTTTCACTCTAGGCAGCTTTGGCACTTTTTAATCTTAAAAGTAAGCATTTATTTATCGTACGGCATGGCCTTAATCTAGAACCACTTCAAGACCGATCAGCTCTGCCCGATCTAATGCGCATTCTGGGATTCCAGTCTGTGGTGAAAAGTGGACTTTTCTGCTAGTGTACGGCCACCCCATTATTCATCCAAGAACCCAGGAGACCGCTCGAAACTTACCAGCAGCTCCTTCCTAAGAGTAAACTAAAAATGAGCGACATTTGCAATCGGAGTGATAACGAACTCTGTATCAAAGGCCAGCGGCAGGACCAACTGACATGTCGCGAGACGCCACGCGAGTTACGGGTTTCAACTTGTTGCGCGCTCTGGCTACGAGGATCCTATAGAGGACTGCTTATGTCGACGATGCACAAGTCCGTCGGCAACATTTAACCCAACGATATGGCAAGTTCATAGTATGAAGCTTAGAAGTCATAAACAAGTCAATCGTATGTCCTTACTTGTACCTATCGTAGGACTTACTTGTACTTATCTTGTATTTTACTTGTATATGTATTCGGGCATGGTAATTAAGTGATGATAACATACCAGAAGCCTGTAACTGCCTGTCCGTTGATTTGTTCCCTTATAGTAGCGTACGCAGTACTTCTAGGGCTTATTGTTTGCGCCGTATGTTTTGCAGGTTAGATCTTTCTTAGCAGTTAGTTTTTGTATGTTTGTTAATATAGGCGTGTGACACGTAAACAAATATAGCTGAGGTGAATCGTACAAACAATAATCATCCAATGATACCGTTCATTTTACTTAGTACTGTGGGGTACCGAATCTAGCTATTATTAATAGGGAGAAACAGGGATCTATCGACAATTTTAATTAGGAGTGACGTGACAGATGAATATTTTGTATACATACATCATATGTATATTTACATATGGATAGTATGTATATATGGGATTTGCTAATCCGTTAGGTCGAGTTTTCTTGTGCTTTTCGTAAAGCCTTTAAGTGTTTCGGTCGCAAGATAACATTTGCTTAAGTGATATTCCGTAATGCCGACCCGTTGTTGTCTCCCGAAATTGTTTCGCCATCTTGGGCCATTCGGCACGCTAACTATGGTCATCATTGATCTGAAGCAGTTGGGCTTCGTTTCAATATGGTTACTGTATCATGTACTTGCCTTACGTTGTCTTTGATTTTAACCTTTTAAAATTCCGCCATTTGAGCCTGAAATGTTATGATACGCATAGCAACAAAAGACTTAGGTAAATTAAATCCTTAACAGTATTGTTCGGTCGGGTACTTTATCAACATTCAAGTAATATCAGGGTCAAGTATTTTAATTGCTTGTATAGTATAACGAGCGCAGGCTGATTAAGGCCATACAGTATTAAAATGTTTTGTATTTGACGTCCGGTACTTGAGTCGTTCGGCATCACTTCAGAAAGCTGCTTTCAGCATCATACGCAGTCTAGCTCCAGACAGCTTAGTAGGCGAATTCATCATTCTGTGCGGTATGACGAAAAAAATAGAACGAAGCAAGCCTAAGTCGTCCCTGCCGTTCTCATTACAGACGAGCTTTGAAGAAGAAGTTCTACGGCCCCTATTCTAGTAGTTCTATATAATCGATGACCTATCTCGGTTAAATTATCCCGCCGCATTGCCACCAATTATTTAAAGGCGCTTTTGCGATGCGAGAATATTGATCCAATATATCTACTCATGAGGGTTCCGATATATCTACTAGATAGTTTTTGGCTGGCTAGAATCTATTGGCAGAAGAAAAAGCCGTAACGAACGACTGTCGATTGATATTTTATTAAGCGGACATCGTTCTGTTAATATTGTATGCATCAAAGTTAATATTAAGAACAATGCGAGCTTACGTATATAATATGGTATACTGATCATCGAGAATGAGTGGTTGTGCTTTCATCTGTTAAGGCGATCAGAAGATTATAGCTCGTATAGATTCGTATAAGTATGAAAAATGGTCTCAAAACGACATTACTTCAAGAGCCGCTGCTTTCGTCTGCCCAACCTTCCCCCTTTGTGTTACTGATAGGTCGAGCTGTTGTCATTTATGAAGGACAGTATCATACCTGGTATAACCTTCGTTTCAAACAACGACAGACTGCGAACTTTGTTGTAAGTTACTCACAAAAAAATAAGTGGTGTTACCTCTTCCGCTTGCGTCGGTCATGCTAAAATTTTCTTTTCTTATACTAGAACGCTAATTACTGAATGAAAATTATTAAAAACGCATTTTTTTTACTGTCTGGTAGATTTCTGAGGGGATCGTTAGCACCGATAAAGGCTATTCTGTTGTTCAGGCTATATATATATATATATATATATATATATATATATATATATATATATATATATATATAGGCGAAGTCACATGGCGTTTCGGTTTCGATTACGATCATTTAAAATGTATACGTTATTATTACGTGTAAACTATCTTTTTCTAAAATTTTTTTCAAAAAAAAAATTCAGTGCAACCTTCGATACCCGTATTTTTAGTGGCATTGCAAATATTCTCAGCAACCCTTATATATCAGCTACGAAATATGTAGCGGGCGATTTTTAGATGCGATAAAAACAGATGATGACCTATAATTTTTTACACCTTGGACTTCTGAGTGCTTTTATCATTATTTTTTTACATTTATTTTGGCACAGCTTTTGTGAAAGCGCTGAGGACTTTTGCTGAGCTCGAGTCTCTTTTCGCTAATTAGTACATGATGATCATTCTGTGTTGGTTGAGACTAGTGCACTTACTTAGGGATATACAATTCCCCGACTCCCCTCCCATTCAAGACAGCCTGTCTCAAAATCCTCCCTGGGAAATCTCTCTTGGAGAATATCTTTTCAACGACTGATGCCTGCATCCAGTAGATACACAATAGCTCTCAAAACAAATTTCTACTGCTATAACTGATATAACGAGAGTTTCTTTGCTCTTCATGTCCGGGCGGTGCATAAAACTTGTTGTAGCAGATTAAAGGCGATCACGCCATGGAAGGCGTGACGCTTACGGCGTGCAGGCCCGCGTGTGGAGGTGGAAGGGAACTCGAGAATCGTTCGTCCCGGAAAAACTTATAACTAAAATACGAGCTTACAACGAAGCACATCATAGAAAATAATCCAAAGACACCGGCCACCTGTAAAAAAAATTCGAGGTTAGCACAACCTGCGCTAAGGTCGCCTACCATCAAGTTCGAAACCATAATTTATTATTATCTGATCTATTTGATCACTGTATCTCACCTTACTTTATATTGGCTAAAATATCATATGATACTGTAGTCTTTGCTACACACATTTTTTTTTTTTATTTTTGTATACCTTTGAAGCGGCGTTATCATCGGGATCTTGGCAGTAGGCGCAGAACTCGAGAAGACTTACGATTAGATAGAAGAGACCCGTGAAACTATCACAGACCAACAGCTGCGAAACGCGCAAAATAGATTGCAAACAGAAGCAGAGCACGCACATAAACGGCATCATAAATAAACCCGGTGCAATGGAGGAGCTTGCGCTGTTGAAGTGTGATATATTTTAAATTTACGTCTGCAGCTGCCTATTATATGAATCTCCCAGTGTGTAGTAGATACCAGTGGCAATTGCAACTACTTCTACTCTATGTCCTTAATCTCAAATGTTCCTTTATATCGGTCATATGCAAATATAGACAAGGCGTACATGTTACGCGAACGCGGCTGGCAACGATTTACCATCTTGTTTAAACAATCGTACATTTTCACGTACATAATATCATATTTAGTTCTCTATGTCATTGAAGATCAATAGTCCTTGGTCAAGTCATGTATTTTTCCACTATATATGACTCATTATTATTATTATTATTTCATAGCAATATGTTGACGCTCTTGCCACGCCCCCGTATTGTTAAATAAGCATATCAAAAGCGTTTTTCAAGTACGGGACGGTTCTCTGCCATTACTTCTTTACGGCCATTTCTGCATCCATTAATCGTAGACGTCCTTTTAACTAGGACTGGGTGAATATTTAGTTTAATGATACTTATACAACGAAGAGATAGGGACAATTTATGGGCATCTTGATTCCATTGGCAAGAACGTGTACTCGCAACTGCTATTCAAAGCACCGGCGTCATACCAAGGTCTGATGTAAATAATAATAATAATGATCATTCTCAAGTTTTATAAAGTAACCAACCAATATCCTGCGCGCTCCTTTCCTCCACCTTAACTTACAACGATTCAGATAGATTCATTCCGTCAGAAATTCGATGTTCGGAAAAAACAACATGATATCAGGACACACGTAAATCTTTATGGATCACGCGCTCGTTGACGTACCCCTGCGTCGTATACAATATTTATAGCATAATGCCCGATAGCTGTAATAACTTACGAAAAAAGGGAAGTTCACAAGATTCGACATAAGTTCCTGTGCCCGCATCACGAAGATGATAATGAAGAAGAACGCAAGAAGAAACGACGTTATGATAACGAATAGCGAAAATTCGTAACGGTGAACATAGTTTTCGTAACAAGGGTTTTGAATCGACTCGATGCATATTAGCCCGCATAGTCCGAAGATCTAAAATCATCGAAGAGATAATTGTAAAAAAAAAACGATAAGATAATAATAGTAACACAGGCGAACGAGAGCTGAATGACGGCCATGTTAAAAAAGTAGGAACAAACGAAGTAATTATCGCTCCATGGATCATCTAACAATAGCAGTTATTATTAGCGTAACACCGCTATCTACTTCGTAATCATTATACCATAAAAATCAATGTATAACTAAAATCTTATTTAAATTCAACTCACCCATTAAATATATATATATCACAGCAGTAACAATGAAAATGTATAGCAATCAACATTATTAACAACGTACAATTTCGGCAATGCGAAGTATGCCCTGCAACGAGTTAACAAACGCTTTGTCGGGCCCGATTGTCGTCATTTTCCCTGCTGACTCTGTATTGGGAAAAGGCTCGCGTTTAGCTAGTAACAGTAGGGTACAGATTTGGCGCAGCTTCCGGGGTAAATTCGTTGGCCTTCGTCAAACAACGAGGAAGACGGCTAGCGAAATCGTGTCGTGTTGCGTTCGCAATTGAACTTTAATCGCCAGTAGATAACTTAAGCTGTATTGTTCACCGTGCAACGCTAACGGCTTTCAGGCGCGGGTAGCCGCCTTCTTAGTTGGCACTGTTACAGACTTGGATGTGTCCTCCTCTAGGGCCTCAAGCAATACTTGTTCTTGATACCGATAGTATCCGCATGATCTGAAATTGTTGGAAACGACACGAAGCAAGTGTACGCTTGCTTGTCTGTGAACGAAGACAGCCGTAGAGACAAAAAAGAAAAAAACACTATTAAGGAACCACCTATGACAGATGATATTCGATCAGTTGCAATCAAAGCTCATAGCTCGAATCAGCCGTACGCAGTGGACACTCAGGACTGAATTGTCAAATACGGGACAAGTTTTTTTTTTGTCAAATACATAAAATCCTTTCTCTAATGCTGTCAATATGCGGTAATATGCGCTGTAATATGCGGTACGAAGTGTCAGATTTGTATTCTAATTGGACCTGCTCCACAGTTCCTTCTTTCCTCAGTTATAAGGCAAAGCGGGTCTTTAAGATTATACATAGCTATAGAAACTGCCAGTTGTTTACGTTCAACTAGTCCATCAGCAGATCGAATTATTTGAAAAGAGATTGGCATGTTCTAAGCTTAGGTCTGCCTGGTTTTCGTGTCCAACACCCAACTTTTCTAAATTTTGTAGAAAACAGTCGTACAAAGACGTGAAGCAAACAAAAATGGGACGATTAGAGAAAACAAAAAAGCTATGAACCATGTAAGTAACGAAAAGTGAAAAGCACTATTTACAACCTTTAAGTAATTTTACAATTTTTTTTTTAAAGAAAAATCTGGTTTTCCTAAAAATGCACCTTTATGTAATTAGAACTGCATTATTTCTATAATTATATTTTGATGTACATCATATCCTTCTAGTAGATATATTTAGTCACTTTTCCAATTGCTCTAATATTTCCATACTCCTAAAAATGTTGTAGTTTTTCCTGTATTTGCTTATATCTTCTTTAATAGGCGCGAACGTATGCAATTTTGGCTTGAAATTTCGGCATCATGCCATGGAAGTGCTTTTAAAAAGCGATATATTTTCGTCCATTTTTCGTTAAGGGCTCTTTTGCATGACTCAACGCGTACTTTTTGCGCGTATTGCGTTTTTCAGAAATAACCTTTTAAGCAGGACCAAGCAACCTCTGTCATTTACAGCCGCATATCTAACCTAAAATGGAAAAGTCAGAAAAAACCTATTCGTTTTTAAGGTACAATCACATAGAGCGAGAAAGCTGTACGAAATAACAACTTTTCAAAATCCTGTAGGTTCTACCACAGGTTTCTCTAAGAAAAAAGCAAAGCTGACACTTTTCAGTACGAATGCCCCTGATTTAAGCCTCATCCATAAAGTGGTAATGACTATTTCGAATAGAGTAGAACTTGCAGCGTAATAGTCATTTACGCTGGTCACATTTAACTTTAGAGCTAAAGTAACTTTGAAAAACGCTGTCTTACCACAAAATCAAAGCCAAGATCGTATTCTTGCAGGTATCAAATACATCTAAATCAATTGTATAAAGAAAGCTTAGCAATCAACTCACTGTGCTTTACTTCTGCTTTGATAAATCTAAAAGCTCGAAAAAAACATCCATCTGCACTAAAATTTCCCTGCTCCTATCCTGAACAACTTATTACGTCATCCAGGCCGTATATAGTTTAATTCGATATTTCTGCTGCACGTTCTTCTTTATAATAGATAAATAATCGGTATCAACAGTTACCAATATTTTTCGCTTTTATGTCGAGGAATATTGTAATCTACGTTTTAAAGAGATGTTTAATACTTAAACAAAACATCATGAAAATCATGTTGAATAAGATACGCGATACTTTGGAGAACTAAGGACTAAATACTAAGAATTTGTTATGAACGACTAGCGGGGTAAAATCCTAAAGAAAGAAAAATTAAGAATTATGCTCTTAGAAGACTTAGCATGACTGTCATTATTACCTTTTTAGGTTTACACCGACAAAAAGCAGTAGAAAGAAAAATGCACGCGTCGAACCGGTTCTTGCATTGCTCCTTGGAGCTAGCCAGTGACGCCATGGTCAGATCCAGTGTTTCTCAGAAACAATGACTACTGAAAATGTCTTCCTACTATTTTAAGTGAAAATACCCTGATCTGACAGCAGCCGTTCGTTGCATTGTCCCACTGTGCTGGTTACTAGAGCTTTCAGTAGAGCCAGCTGGACACAAGATCTTCCCTGCCTCACAGCCGCCACTCGCTGTAAAGTCGCTCATTAACAGAAATATCCTGTCTCCATTCAAACTAAACCTTAGTCACACCTTCCCTTGGACTAGAGGCCTGTTAAACCTATCAACAATGAAAGGAAAAATCTTTCCCAAATTACAACTCCCGGTAACCGAGGAGAAAAGAGCTATAGCGATAACTTTCTTTGATTGTGGGAACAAACTCGTCTGCTGGTTGGGTCGGAATCGCCAACAGTTCATTCCGCTGTTGCATATATAAAAGCATAATTTATTGCTTGGTTTAATGTATATTTGCCTTATTCGTACCGGTGGTGAGCCGATTATTGTACTACATAAAAGGCATGGCTCAATGATATCATTCCACTTCATCCTTATTCAAATTATGGCAAGAGTCATACATAGAAATATCTAGCATGGCTAAAACACCTGTAGTTGTTCCCAAATGTCGCATTTTTTTTAAGCAAATGGTTCAGCATTTGAAGGGCCATCTCACTATATGTTCCCTGAAAGCTATCGACGACCAGTCACTTTGCCTAGCGCGTAACGAATTTGCCAGACATTGTCGTACCAGTAAGATCTTGAGTGAGTTCCCAAATGATATAGGACCGTCTAACGCATAATAGAAAGATGAGTCATTCTGGAAAATGTGAACGTTGCGCCAAGATTCGCTGTCGTTGGTTATCTCGATCGCATTCATAGTTTTATATCTTATTATTTGAAAAAATATTGTCCTGAAAAAGGTATCCGACACGGTAACCGGTAACCTGAAAGTATTCTCTATTCGTTCTAAGGCGTATCCTATATTATCGGCGCCCGTTGAGTAGGCGCTCGGGTACAGGTACTTTTCTTGAAACTACAATTAGACATGAATTTCACAAAGTTCTCTGGCAATATTTTTAAATACACCATTGGACAATGCAGCTGTTGAAGAAAATGTACCTAATTATGATGCGGTGCTCCGAAGTTCGTCCCGAGGAATCGTCTTATTTAATAAGGCACGTAAGTAAGTATAAATCAGATGTTCGATTGCTTTTCGAAGGCCAAGTTTCGAACTTCCAAACTTTATTCCAAACTCCTGGTTAAATAAATAAACAGCAAACCTGGTACAGCGGCTACCGTGACAGTTTTTTTGTCATGTTGACATCGTATTTTGTGCAGATGTACCTGGCCTGCCATCACAAACTTGAGTTCGCGTCAATGTTTTACATAAAGTAAAGTATAGTAAATAAATTGATGATCCTCCTCGCTACCATCTGACGCGATGCGTGCCACAGCTTGTGGATATAAAGCTTAGAACGTTTATTTAAATATAACCAATGTTAACAAATATTAAAAATAAATACGATTCATTATTCATTGTCGATATTTTATCGATTAAGGTTGATTAATAGGGGTCATTAAGTATTCGCTGGTAGTAATATCACGTACTCCTGTTACACACTAAATACATAAAAAGTCGCAAGATGTTTTAAAATCACATCGTGCTTGCCGTTTGATTAAAGTGGATAAAGACGGTTATTTAATCTATTTGTACAATAGATCGGGCCTATTTTTATGTGTAAATCTGCAAGGGCATACATTTTTCATGAACCATGATGAATGCACCGCGCCACATAATCTCTACTTTACCGCGACATGTTCAACTGCAGTCGGCGAAACATTAGGGTATCCCGTAAACGGATCGTTTTCTTGAAAGGATCCATGCATGGACTTGGATATCAGTTGCCAAACGTAATCTCAATTCCTTTAATGCATAATCCTAAAGTACACTATGCCTTCACCCGCTAGAAGTGTCAAATAAATCTTCAGTAACACATGACGGCCTATAACGTGCTATGACTCATATAATGTCAACACAGATCCAACATGGCATCGATTTCAATCATTACTTTCAACCGAAACTGTTCACAACCTGTTCATAGTTCACGAACTGTATATGGTTCGTCGCTGCAGACCCGTGACATCAATCGTTTTTAACACACTTTGGGCGCATAACTGACTAGATGATGTGGCCATTTATACGTTCATTCTCAGATGACGCTATGCACTTTCGCGAAAATAGCGGAACCGCACGATCCATTGCAGTTAGTTTCTCTACAATTCTGTCACATCGTATAGTATGAATATGCGGCAGAAGGGACTCTATCGCAGTTAACCAGAGACCAACGTATAGCGTATAGCCACAACATGTAGCCATGGATCATGTTGAGCCGGACATCAATCGATCGAGGAACACTCACCTCGTCAGCGGGCGATGGCACGGCAACACGGAAAAGTCCTAGTGGGCCTGTTTGCCTGCTCGAGGCGGCACGGCTTAGAAGGCGCTCGTTGCAGGGCCCAGACGCGGCCACAAGCGGCTCGTTGGGCAGCGCGGGTCTGTCTTGGCAGTAGCGGCACCGAGCAGCAACCCTCGTTGTCTTTACTCACCGCCTCCCCTATCCACGCTGTACTCGAGAAGCAGCTACAGCTCACCGCGTACAAGCTGACGAACGTTTTTGCAGAGCCTATGAGGTCTGTCCTCGTATAAGGCCTATGAGGCCAGTCCTGTCCCTGAAACGGCGCGATGCTGCAATGCTCTCTTTGCTCGTTCTGCAACAGCCTCCCGAGTCAAGGGAGAGGAGTTGCAGATGAAGAGCAGTAGGACGGAGGCGAGGGACAGTAACGTGCCGAAAAATGCCGGAACAGCTGCCGCCGGGCCTGGGCTGCCGCGGCAGCTACTGACAATATTGCTGCTTGTGAAGAGAACAATAACATGAAAGAAATAAACCGGATAGGCTAGAAGGCAATATTACGGAGAGCAGAGCGACCACGAGAGCCGCCGCCTCGGCCCAGCTGGGCCTACGACCGATTCAGAGCCGTGCGACAAATGGACTGATTTAAAGCCGCTGAAGGCAAAAGGAGAATAAACATTCATTTCACTGCAGGACATCTGATATATAGAAGATATACGCTGAGGAAAGTCTTTTGTGATATCAATAGAGAACGAGATGCGTGTATTTGCCGACGGTGCGACCTCTGCGGCGGAGGCTGTGGCAGCTTTTGGTTGAAGAATGAACATGATGGCGCCAGAGTCACCTAACGCTTGCTGCGCGCCGACTGCCTTCGGCAGCACTTTGTCTCGACCAGGGTGTACATTATTGCATTAATATGTAGCTATCCGCCGGCACGAAACGTTAGCTCACCCAACTAGCGGTCACGAGCCAGATTGGTCATTATAGGCACTGATGGTGAGCGGTGTTACCTATTTGAATACAAGTAACACGTGCTTCCGGATAAGAGTATGCACATAATGGTACACACACAGAAACTGAATAAAAATGAATGGATAAAGCAAAAAATGTGAACTTTTCTTAGATTTTTGTTTAAACATACGTTTTATGTACGCTACCAATTTAATTGTTCGTCAGAAGCTTAATTCCTTATTGCACTATGCAGATGTAACAATCTCTTTAGATAATTATGATTGGATTATTACTTTTTAAAGAACAACCTTTAAAACATCTGCTGACTAAAAATATATAATTAATAATTCTCGATTTTCACACCAGACGTTTTACAAACCACTCATGAATAGATTTTTCAGATTTTCTCTATGTACCTGAGAATTGAAATCGGTAAATCAAGGACAACGGATAAAAAAAGTCGATTGGAGGATAATTGGAAGTTGCTTTGACCGGTTAATCTCTCCACATAGAGGCGCTAGACAACTTTTTTTTTACCTGCCTGTCGACACACTTGAACAACACCTGTTTCAGAACTGATCCTATGTTTCCTGAAATGGCTTAAGCAAACGCGCTCATATCCATCAAAAAGATATATAAAGCTAGTCTAGTGTAAAGTAGATAGATGCCCTCAGCATGAGAAGCCTAGCTAGCAAGAAAATACCATTATATGGAGAGCTTGTCCTGACGTTATCGGAGCTGGAGGAAGCGTCAGGAGATTTTAGAGCCGTTAGTTGGTGCTAAGCATGTATGTTAACTAGAAGTTTGATGCGCAGAGCGACCGACGGTTAAATGTTGAGGAAGCCGTATTCCTCTATATATACTATAAATCACAATCGAATAATTATTACCATTTATATTCACTGCTAATCTATTACAAAGAAGGAGCTTAGAGTTACATCAGATTTATACTCATCTCGGATATTACGTTCCGGTATTGTAAAACCTATTAGAGGAATGTTGCGATGTAGTTCAAAACAGAACTGCTCATTTCGCATTAATAGTCACCCATCTAAAACGAATCGAGTCAATGAATCTTCTATTCCTACAAACCCCTTTCACTTATTCCAGTAAACAACGGCCATCTCTGCGACGGGGTTACATTTTAAGGTGCAGTAAGTAAACACCTCCAAAATAGAGTATGAATTAATACAAAAACATATCATTTCTCTTTTTATATGTAACGCACTACAATCAATGGACGAATAGGATTTTGTCTAGTACAGAGATTTAGGCATCAGTACCGCTATGCAAAAAGACCTTCCAGAAGGCTGAACTAGAAGTAAAGTCCGAGAGAAAAAGAAGAAACAGGGACTAGCGATATACGCATTGCTTACTTCCTATTTAAAATAGTCTACTTTTGTTTCCTAGATAGACCCCGCATATGCTACTCAGGCTAGTTGGGAAGATCGTTACCACTACAACTTCATAGAACCAAATTAAATTGTAACAAAACGTCGTGAATGTTCAAGAAGAAAAACGCGTCCGCCAAAAAAAGACATCGGGAAATACTGAGCACAGTGTACAGATTAGAGATTGCCACACAACATATTAAGTACAAACTAGATGCAAGGATCAATGAAGAAGCGGTAGGCAAGATAGGCAAGGTACGATTCAGATAAATCACGCTTAGAGTAACCCTTATGGCTCCATTGTGTAATATTTTGTTGGCCATAATTTTTTTCATTTTATTGTTGCTCTTCATGCTTTTTTATGGCTTACTATATTGGGCCTTTCCCGTTTCAGTATCTTTTCAGTTTCTTGACTTCTATAGCATATTATGTTTCACATTTCGAACATTTCCCGTTTATACATTGAAGAACCATCGACTCGTCAATTTGAATGTTGCTCTATTTATAAATTAGAATATATACTTCAACTAAATTCGATTCACTTCAATCTTCTTCTGATCTTCTTAGCCATTTGCTTGAGAATTGGAAAATCTCTATTTAGATCTAACAGAGAAGGTATTGGCATGTAGATTATCTTACACGTGGCGTTAGGCTGTCCCAAACCGCCGATCAGTTATCGTAATTCTTTGTTACAATCGCGATTTCGATTAGAACGGCTCCACCGGCCTCAAGAAAAACTTGCAACATGTTATTTGTCCTCTTTTCGCTACTGAAAGCCAATGCATGTGTACGCTGTATTATATTTATGTTTTAAATTTTATGTACGGTATAGCCGTTAGGCATATCATCATATGGCTGGCTTTCACCATGACACGAAGTGTATCTATGTCCGGGTTCGAACTTCGGCCACACGCATCCCTAAGAACAGAAGTCAAAGACGTTATCCAGCAAACAAAAAATGTGAGCAAACTCAGCGCAGAACCGCGAACAATTTATTTACAATTTAAGTACCAAAATATTAAATACTGATCTTTTCTATTATAAGAAATTACAACGAATAAGTGGTACTCTGTTTAAGCACGTCTGGCGTTTTAAATTGCACGACTGATGAGAATAATGTTATTTCAGTCAGATCAGTGTTCAGTCTACATTAGTCCAGGACATCCAGTTCTGAAATTTGCTTTGAAATAGATGAACTGGCTGTGTCGGTTTTGTAGCTTAGCGACCTCGATATGTATCCCTCAATTTTTCCATCATTCTGTACTGAGACGCTTCTTCGTGAAAACGATCTCCAGGAAGACATTTTGCGTAGATGTGCAGATTAGAAATCGCGACTCATGCAAGCATGGCTTACGATAGCAGTTCCACTATCGCTTCCACCATTGCTGGAAAAATGAAGAGTATCCAACGGTAGCCGGGTGGCGTATGAGCAGCCTCACATCATGAATAGCGCATAGCGCATTTTTATGAGATCCATTTCCATTATAGCTATTTACTCGAAGGGGATGAGCTGCATTTCTAGCAATAAGTTATCACCACTTTTTTTTCAAGACGAAATGCGTGTGGCGGTCTTCGCCTCTACAGATCAGGTCGATATAGCTGTCCGCCATCAGACATGGCCAACCAGGGTATCGAGTCAAAAACGATATCAGCAACAGAAATAACGATCTTATTGATAAGCAGTATAGTTAGCTAAAAAAGCTACCCTAAAGTAAAGATAACATATCAAATAACGCTGCAATGCCAACGATTGGGATCGAAAATTAAAACGGTCCGTTCTCCTAAGACCTCAATGATGTCGCTGAACCTAAAGGCCTCATGTCGAATTAACTTGGTATGATATTTAATTAGGTAAAGTACGTGAAAATATCAGCTTCTTCTCATTCAGAAAAAAAAATAAAAATAGATAACATGATAGTTATACGTCATGTTATCTATTTTGCAAAGGGCAATAGCAAAGGGTTATATAAGAAATTGAGAACCAGCAGCTAATACTTTGACCAATGAATCTACAAATGCTATCAAATGAACCCTTACTTGTATTTTAGAAACTCCAAAATGTTATTCAGTTTGAGGTAGAACTTGTGGCTGCACTCGATGACTATATACATATAGGACATCTGTTTGTTTTGGCGTTTGAGATTATTCAAGCAAGAATCAAGTGGTACTAATGGTTTAAAACGTGGGCGAAGAATCAGTGTCGCCGAAGCATCTTGGCCGTGCTTGCATTGCCCGTGGCATGCTTGTTTGCCCATACCGTCCAAAATGTTCGACTTTTGAAAAAGTTCACCTAAACTATTGTGTTTGCCTATGGGTACTTAGAAGGTTTCGGCTTAGCTTAAAGACTACTTAGAAAGCAAAGCTAACGAATGCCCAAAAAAGTTGACATGACGAAACATGCTTTTAAAGGTAATGAGTGAAAAAATATTAGGATTCAGTATTAAGTTGTTGAAAACTGAATTATAAACAGCCTGGCAACCTTATTTATGCACACCCTAGGTAAATACAGACGTTCTTAAGTTCATTAAGTGGTATATGTTTTACGGACAACAATAATGTTAAAATTAATTAAGCGTCATACCGATGCGTACCATAGAACATGCTTGTGTTTTTGTATGTTGAACCCGCGGGCTTTTGGCTACACTTCCTTCCCTATTTCATTAAAAACAAGACATAATAGGTGTTTAGGTTCTTAGGTTCTCAAAATGGGTTTTTGGTTAAAGAATAACAAGACGTTTTTTTTTCTTTGACAAGCGAGAAAAAACTGCTCAGTGGACCCTCAACCCAACTGAAGAGAAATTTTGTCCAATGCAAGGATTGTCTGATTGATTATAGATCTATGAAAATTACTTAAAGTAATAACGAATGTCCAAAGATTGAATTCATTGCGAGGATACTAATATTCAAATTTCGATTCGACAATATTTATATCATTATTATTGGTGCTTAAGATTGACAATGATGAGGTAAAACCGCGACAGCATAACGTAAGTTTGTTTGCTATGTGCTATCAAGCAACTGGCCTTGTTTCAATGGCTCTACAGGCCCTCGCTGGTCATTAGGATCTGCTTTCACACACAGAGATCGTGACTCTGAAGAAAGCATTTTTACGTCTTGTCGGTGCTGTCAAGGTTTACGCGCGGTTAACCAAAGTAGAGGCTGAAAATATTTATATAAATGGCATTTTGATCTTTAAACAACAGTGCAACAAATTTGAAATTGAGATTCGATTAAATAAGAGCAACTACTATACCCGTCTACGGAAAAGAGTCAGCACATCCATATTTTTCTATAATAAACTGACACGGCGCGGCGAAAATCAATCAACCATCTGTGTTAAAACGACAGAATTCTAACAAGGCCCTGTGCATATCTGCGCTTGTACATAGGCGAACTGTTCTACCTCGTAGCTTAAATTGTTCGAAAATTTTGGAAAAGAGGACTCAGCGGAAAGCTCTTCAGTAAACAACAACTGCTGTTCTTCAGTTTATGGGCGACGATCGGATTTCTATCACAAACCATGGTCGTCATTAATAATCCAGTCAACCTAAACTGGAGACAGATAAAAGCACTTGTTCATTAAGGCCAATTCTAGTCTTTAATATCTATTTGAAACTAGCTTTACAAGATATCTAATCATCGGTTCTCACGTTTTATAAACATTGCAAGTATTATGCCGCAATAATTAAATACTGACGCGTTTATGCTTAATATCTATGATATTTAGCAGCGACAAATAGTTTTCCTCATAAGTCTATTTAGATAATTCATTAGCTTGCAGGGATTTCAGGTATATGCGATGGACATGCATCGCCGGTGGCTGATAGTTCTTAATGTGAGACTCGCAAACACCCCTCGGAAGTCCGGACACCGTTGCTTTGAGTATTATTTCATTGACTATAAATAATATGGCGTAAATAAATAGTGTGGCGTATATCGATATTTTTCATCATAAAGGTATGACCCTGAAAGAGTTTGTGCAGCTTTACTAGTCAAATAAACATAACCATTTAACTGAAATCTGCTATAGCTTCATAAGTTATATATTTTTCGTAAAATAATTTTCCATAAATGTGTGCTGATTGGAAACACCTATAGTAAGTGGCTTGTCACAAGCATTCATCTAACTATTGTGATTTATTTCCTAGTTTAATCTTGAAATAACTTCAAATGTTTGTTGATTTTCGGCCAACACATTTGTTCACGCATCAGATCAGCCTAAATGCAGAAAAACGTCTACGTTAATTCGCTCTCGAATCTTCTACTGCGCATCACGAATGACACCCATCCCATTAGTCGGCAGGAAATGCTAAACTGATACCCAATTAATGACTATCTAGGGCTAAATAGAACTTTCAAAACAATAACGTCTAACTCTACAATGTCTTGTGCTCGATCGAGTTTCGTCAACCCCTGACCGGTTTCGCTCAGCTGATCTAAGGAGCGAACTTTTACCCAGTGTGCGACGGTGCCCATAGAACACAACACTAGAATCCCAGACAGAAGCACGCAACGAGCACGAGGTTTACCCAGCAGATGACGATTCTAGGACACGCGTATAATAGCTGGCTGACGGGCGAGAAAGTATTACCAGCTGTCTGCTAGTGGGTCCCTTTACAGGCACTGTTTGTAGACTATGACTATTAAGCAACAGCCGTGGCGGATAAATCTGTGTGTAGTAATAATAATATGTTTGTCAGTGACGATTTTTTGAAACGGCAAGAGCAGCTTTCGCAAGCCGAACGTCTGTAGTAGCCAATTGTCTTGTTAACGAGTGGCGAACGAATCGGTGCTCAAGGAACGTCACGGAAAACTGCGGAGTAATGTATCAGCGCTGATCATTCATCAGTGAATGCGGTCCTTGTGCGGCTCGCGCATACGGTGTCATAAAGGTGCGAACAGAAAAACCAGTTCATGCAATTAAAAGATCTCTGCTGCTACTCTTTTAACAATAGGGCAGACGAGCATATTCAAGTTTATAGAAACGGTGGACGGTGCTAGTAACCGAAGCGTCAAGGCTATTTTTAGTAATACTGATCGTAAGTTCATTAAGTGCTTTGCTGTTAAATGGCGAAAATACAACAATAAAAACAGGAAGATGTCTCGTGCGTATTGCCGGTCCATGTTTCCCCAATGAGGTTTGTCATGAAGCTGATAGATTGTCGAATAAGCGTCAACATGGGCGAGCTGACGTTCTTAGATGTCTGGAGTTCGATTTGGGGCAAGCTGGCATGTAATAATAATTGTGTAGGATAATTCTGTATGAACAACTATGAACTGTTTCAGACTGTATATTCATTATTTTGCCCCTATTACCCCCCCCCCCCGCCAAAAAAAATCGCTATCAACATTAAGAGCATATGCATGAGGACCATGCAAGGTTTCAGAGCAACGGTGCACGTAGTAAATAGAGAGAATGTCAGTTTCGATTTGTGCATTCGTATTATGTGTTGAAAAAATATCGCGCCAGGTGAGATTACAGTAACACGTTAAATGTCCCTCTCTAGCTAATACCATATATATTGTAGTTGCATAGGGGCAATCGCATGCTGGGGAGGCCGACGTTCGACCTAGCGGTGTTGTCCTATGCGCTCAAATCAAATTGATGTTCTCTTGCTAGTGATTATGAAGAACGGTACGGATTGAGCCAGCAAATCCCATCGCTTAGGCTAGTTGTCAGCCAGTACCTATAACAAGTAAGATTTAATATTAAAGTAACAGTGAAGCGTATTTATTGGATAGTGCAATCATAGCCATGGATAACCATATTCGCTATTTGTAAACATACTGACAAAGATACCGCTAACATGCTCCGTGCTGGTTTCTGGTCCGCCTGACGACTAACATCTATCCGTTAATCAATGTTACGTATCGAGGAGTTCTGCAATTATTTCAGTTATCTCATTGCTTATAATTTGTCAGATTTGAATCTGCCATTGGGCCGGACAACGGGTTCTGCTGCATTACGAATCAGTCACACGTGATTTTCTTGTATGTACGGTTGCTATGCTAAACATCAGAACAACCGAAAAATGAAATTCGTGCTTTTTTGATTATTTTATCCAAAACGTCTTGACCTTTATGACACGTTAAGGCACTTGGCTGGCAAAAAATAGAATCTATGGTTTTTGATTTGTTTTGTGTCTATTAAAAAACGAGCATGCTTGTAGAATCCAATTTTTGGCGTGCATTGTTGATTGATAAATAGATTCATGTTGAAACAAACATCTCCATTGTTCAACACCGAGACATACGCGAAGTATTTATTTTTTCTTCTGACTTATTTTGTAGGAATGGATTTTTTTATTTGTAGTTCTCTTTGAAGCTAGGATCCATCATTCTATAATTCCATTACGTTTCAAATATGATAATTTCGGAAATAAGCTTCCCACACTGGATGCAGGATGTAATATCTATATCAACCTGTTCTTTAATGTTGCTGATTTAGGCCATATTTAAATACTGGCACTATTTATTTACCTAATAAAGGGCGTTAGTAAATTACGATAATAGCATTGGCATTTATGATCGATTAACGATTAACGGGATGCTGATAATTTAAAGAAGATTTCAAGAATCTAATTGCATGCTATAAAAAACCCGTGCAACCGTTGATTATATCTGCGCCCCTGACTCTCGTTGTTGTTTCCCTTATACTAACAACAATAATCGTAATAATAACTAAAGCTATAATTATGAATTTTTGTTACATGGTCTCGTTTGAAATCTAATTTTCCTATATTTAAATAGGACTTATTTGAATCTGTTAGATACATGCTAGTGAATTCAACATTTAGCATTTCGGCGGGAGAGAATAGGCTGGATTTATAAAAAGAAGAAGAAACAACATTTACAGGTGGGCCCACCTTTACAGCGGCGATAGGAAAAGCTACGATTTGGAATATGACAGATCGGCAATACCGTAGGCACGTTGATTGTCGAAAATTCAAATAGGGCAGCTGAAGGCCTCAGAGCCCCGTATTGTCAACGTACTAACGTGCGGCGGTCGTGCTGACGTGGATGTTGTTGCTCCGTTAAGGCAGCACGATGCTTGAGGGCCTCGTGGCCTGGGTGCTCAACAATTCCGTGGGCAAATACGTCGAGAATCTCAACACCAGCCAGCTGTCTGTCGGAATTCTTCAAGGTACCAAACAAGGAGTATTGCATTTATAACGCAACAATTACGTGTACGGGGGTTAAGTCTTGTTGAACATTTATATCTCTTATTAAATGGTCATAAACAGAAGAACGTACGTTGGGTTTATTTCATGTTATTGTTTTATCTCGGGCAAGTCAGTAAAATTCTCTAATTTGGAAAGATTTAAGAAGCACCTCTATTTTCCTTCAAATAAGAAATTTAGACATTACCTAAAGTTCCTGTCGATTGTCACCCTATTTCTCTGTTGTATTATAAACATAATGAGCATCGAAACCTCCTAACTTTTTCACATATGTCTGTCTTAATAATCGCACGAAGTGCAAAAAGTTATCTTTCTCATGTAATTATAATTGACTCTATGGTGTGGCGTTTGAGTACGTTAGAAAATATCTATCTTGTATGAGGATTCATTAGCGTTAAAGAGACACAGCACGTTATGGTGGCTGCTAACAACGTAAGAGCCGACCAGCATATATTAATTTGTCTACCCTTACGTTACATTATATTGTGCGAAAGTACAAATCTGAGATTAAAACATTTTTTTTTTACCATACAACCAGTTGTGTCGCATTTTATTTATAGAAACTCGTATATGTATGAATTTCCCTCCGTTCAATGCAATACCTATCCTAGCTTCAAATGCCCTCGTGCTTCCGTAGCGACCTTGAAAGGATAACGCTAGCGTAACAGCGTGTCTGCAGTGTTATGGGCTTATATGGCCTACGTTGTATAAAAGACTAATAGACATATTGAGAGAAGAAAGCGCACACTTTAGACCTATCTTATCAGCAGGTCTGGTATACAGCAGATATACAATTTCCATAAAGCAAAAAGCAGCAGATCCAAAAAATGCATAGTAGATAAAAAGTTACATACAACTATAGGTAGAATCACATATTTACTATTACAAAAACATGGACTTACTCCGTTTCTTTGTCTGTTACTATCTTTTGTTTACTTTAGCTCAGTGGAGTTGAACTCTACTTGAAGATAATGCATAGTCATGTTACGATGTTTAATTTTACTTTAATTGACCATAATTAGCTAATATTACTATTATAAAATTAATAAACAAACTATAAATAAGTTATGTATTTCGCTCTTAGGTCAAGTAGAATTAGAGGATCTGCCTTTAAAGAAGCAGGCCTTCCGTCAACTGTTGTTTCCGTTAGAAATCAAAAATGGCTACATCGGTAGAATTGTGCTGAAGATTCCTGTCACTCGACTGCGGACAGAGCCCTGGGTTATTGTCGTTGAAAGGCTTTACATAGTCGTTGGACCGGTATCGCTTGATCAGGTACTTATACCAGCTGACTCCGGCATCACTACCAGTATCTATTAGTCAACTCTTCTAACATCTACAACGGATTGATCTTATTTAAGGGCAACATTAAACAAACTTGTCAATATGTAGTGTTTTCTTAAATATTTTTTTTATATTGCTGTTCGCAGGTCCAGGAAGATCTAGTCAGATTCAATTAAAACGTCTGAATTATTCTTTTTATGTAAATATGCTTAAAGTATAGTAATCACGAGCCTCTGATCGACTAGAGTATGTCCGAAGTGACTTCTTGTGAGTTGATAGTCAGACCAATGCTCTTTTGTAAACATAACGAGAAAACTCTATCAGTCCGTTCATTCATTTCTTGGCTCTGTTATTCATCAGTACAATGGCGAGCTTTACGAGCAACTTAGCCAGGTCAATAAGCTGTCTAAACTGGACGCTTTCGAGGCTGAATGGAAGTCAGCTAGACTTCGACAAGAAGCCCGTACCACCAACGAATACTACACCTATTCGTATTCGTCATGGCTTACATACGGTTCGTCGCTAGTGTCGTCAGCGATAAGTAATCTACAGTTGCGCATACAGGACGTCCACATTAGGTACGAAGACCTGGATTCTATCACCGGCAAGTCATTCGCCTGGGGTCTGCTCATAAAAAGTGCGCAAAGCGAAAACGCCATCCCCTCAACGGGAGGTAGCGGTTCCCCAGGCAGTGGTGACTTGCCAAGCGACGCTAAAAGTTATGTAAGCCAGCAGCTGCAGCTTAAAGGGGTATCGCTATACTGGGATCAAGATGCATTTCACGTGGGTGGCCTTGAGCTTAACCGAATGGCGGTAAGTCGATGTCTCGTGGTAGTTGATCGTATATATATATCTATATACATATATTGCTATTGTTATTTTTACGGGTTTTGTGAAATTGTAGCTTATTGGTGTTGGCGATGTAATCGTGTAACTAAATTCCATTCAAATGAAACAAGTTGTTTTATATAAATAACATAAATGTTTTTGCGATTTGGCAATATAAAAATAAGGCAGCAAGTGCGTAGTGGAAGGCAAATTCACAATAATTTTAACATGCAAAACATTGCATATTCATGGGTTGTGGCAATCTTATTACATCCTCTAAAGGTGTTCAGGAAACCGGTCAATCTTCACAAAGGAAACACTACTTTTAGGAGTTAGTATTTGTACATGTTTTAGATTTACTGCTCGCTGACAATCTCAACTTTTTAGAATTGCATGGACAATCTACGCAATTTCTGTGTTCGCGCAAATGAGACGTCCTGCGAACACAATTTCCTGCTGAGCACACCAGAGGGCGCGACCCTACTTTTATCGCGCAACCAGTCTGAGAGGCCATTACGGTCGCGAGATGAGCCACGCGTAAAATGCACGTTCCAAGTATCGATGTTACCAATTTCGATCGCAGACGGACAGTATCAGCAGATGGTCAGATGTTTTCAGAATATCGACATCAATCACAAAAAATGGAAATATCAAAAATGGAGACCTACTGTACCCGTAAAGGGCAAGTAAGTGTCAGGTGATGATAACGGATCATTGGCTGTTATTTCAAGAGCCGCACGAAGTCAAGCTCATGTTCTTTTGTGTCACGTTGATTTTAAATATCTGTGTTCCATTTTATAAGGAGTCGGTCTATATTTTCATTATGTATATTAAACAGAGATAAGCAATGTTCGAATGTCACCGATAAGCTAACACAAACATATCTTTGAATTGCAGTTGTAAGACCTGGTGGATGTTTGCGGTAAAAGCGACCACCGAAGCATTAATGAAACGACGAGCCTGTGCGACCATGGAGTACGCGCTGAAGAAAGCGCAGGAGGTCAACCGCTATGTGAAGCTGTATAGGCAGCACCTGACAGAAGATGGTGCCCTTGCGAAGGAACAGCTCGATGACAAAAGTGCCATTGAGAAGAGTTACGACTTCGAGACGTTGCTTTCACTCAGGGAAATAATCATGAAACGAATAGATGATGAAAGCAATGTTAGTATCTATAACGTTATCACAAATGCATCTAACGTCTAATACTGGTAGCCAGGCCACAGCCGTCAATATGCAGCTGTTAGTCCCACGTTAATGCAACTGACCGTTGACATTCTCACATCGTGCGTCGTTCCTTTTTGCAGAGCAAAAATGTAGCAGCGGCTACAACCGCAGAGAAGTCTCCGGCAGCGGGAGGCGGTCTGTTGCAGTACTTTTTCCCCGGCTGGACTGGATGGTACGGAGGAACTAATTCTGCCACTCCGGACATCACTGGTGATGGAAATCGACATGCGCAAAATAACGGCGATAGCACGTCCGTATCGATGGTGTCCATCGAAAGCAGCATTCCCAGTAGCCAGTTTGGTAATCCATCCCTAGAATTGAATACAACCTATAAACGATGATTCATCGAGGCTTGAAGGGTGATACAGATAGGAAGAGGCAGGAACAGGAACCTGTATTGTAACAAAAGCCTGCTCTCGTAGTAGGCTTTTGCTACAATAGTTTTTATATTATTTGTGAAAATTAATTGATTATTCATAAAGTCTTGTGGTTCAAAAGGCCTTTGTAACTGAAAAGACAGCCTTACGTTCCGGCCGCAAAACACAAATTTTTGTTCATAAGATAATTCCCCTTTATTTACTATTTCTTGTTTAATGTGCGAAACACAGAGGAGGAGCTTTTAGCAGCACTGAACCGATTGGACGACGAGCATTACCTGTTACGTGATGCGACCTTGGCACACGTTACCTTTCAGCTTAAAACCTGCACGATCACAATACTTCAACAGGTTGGAAGAGATGTGGGCGGTGCTTCGGGTGCGCCCGCGTCAGCCGGCTGTCGAGAACTCGCCGTACTGCGGGTCGAAGACGTCTGGGCTCAGCTTAAATCGCATCCTAGGGCGCGCAGCTACTGTTTACACGTGAAAGTAGGCGGATTACAGTTTTCCGATCGTACACTGCCCACATTAGTGTATGCACATTTGGTGGCACCACACATAGCTCATGAGACGCAGATGAGCCTGCGTTCGGGTCAGAAGATCTCGGTTTCCGACCTGTTACGACCTCGCTCAGCCGGCGCGGGCGTAAGTGCCTCACCGACCCCACCGGGGTCGGCAACAACACCTGCGCCAGTGTCTCCTATCCCTCCTCCCCTGTTTGAAGTGCTATATGAAAAGAACCCACTTGGTTCCACTGCTGATCATCGGCTAGTTATGAATACACAGTCCTTGGACATCGTCTATAGTCCAAGCACGGTACAGGCACTGAAAAGCTTTTTAAGACCAGCTAAAACCTCAGCTACGGACGACTTGTTGACCGATGCCGTAAAACAACACTTGGAACAATTAAAACAGGAAACAAAAACTAGTCTTCGATCAAAAGTCGACGCAATGCTGAGTGGGCGACAAGTAATCCAGCGATGGGACCTTTGTCTGGATATTTGTGCTCCACAGATCATTGTCCCTGAAAGTTTCACGGATCGGGCATCGGTAGCAGTTATGTTCGACTTAGGACGGTTACAGTTGCGAAACTTGACCTCGTTCGATAGACCAAAAACAGAAAAAAGACGCTCCAGCAGCCACGGACCAGACGAAAATGATGATGGTATTAATGATTTATGAAATGTCCTAGCTAAGGCATGTTCCGTACTATAAAGGAATGTTCAAGAAAATTTCCACATGCGTTCATATTAACATTAGGATAGTTTTTTCTTGTGCCGTTTCCATGCTGTGTAATATGCTTCGTATAATGCCGTGCGACTAAGCTATTAAGTAGGACCTTTTCTATACCTACAAACGAAGCCATTTTCGTTTTGATTTATCTACAGAAGACTTCTTCCAAACACCTTGTTCATCACCTCCGGGCGAAAACGATTTAGCCATATTGTCAGAGCCTCGGACCAGTGACAAAGGTCGGCTAACTGCATTATCTAGGCCCATTATAAGTCCCAGTATGGAGTCGTGCGCCGTTTCCGAAGCCGACTTTCGCGAGCGAATGTACGATAAATACAGCCTGAATCTGCAGGATATGCAGGTAATGGTGACGACCTGCTCAAGAGAAAGTTGGAAGTTTGCTCAACTTCGTGGATCATCGCATCTGCATGTGATCGATCGCTTCAACATCTCGTTGCAGATGGAGCGTCGAATACTATTTACGGATGATCCTCAGGTAACTCTATTGAGCAAAATAATTAACATAGGTAGTTCTTATCGACAATTTAAATTTTTGTAGAACATGTTAACATTACGCTATCCTGGGAGTACGTATGTATTTACAAGTAAGCACTTTTCTAATTCAAACACTTACTATTTTGGCGTGCTTATGATACGGCCATGACATGTATAATTGATGAAATAGTAAAGAGGATTTTTCTTAATGTACCTAAGCTTGTGAAGTCACAAGAAATTTCTAATTTGTTTTGCTTTGAAAAGTTTCCTTCGATTGTGGTACATGGCCAGCTGCCCAAATTAGTCCTACACGTCAGCGAGCAAAAGGTGTCTGCCTTAACCTCCTGTCTAAAGCTGTTGGGTACAAGCACCAGTGGGGCTGGCCAAGAAGATCTGGAACACAAGACTCCAACCATCCCTCCGGTCATTCGAATTCCTCTACGAAGACCAAATGATGACAGCGTACTATTTCTGGGCCGTTTCGTCATCGAACAGATGTCGGTTGAGCTACAGAGCAGGGGTCGATGCTTAGCTGAACTTCAAGTAAGCGGCGTAGAGGTTACATGTACCCGGCATCCGCGCGTTCACTCACTGCAGCTTCGGGTACAAGGGCTTTTATTAGTCGATGCTTTGCAGACATATGGTCCTGATTTTGATCTGTTACTGGCATCCCACAAACATATTACAATGGACAGTCGATCGGGCTCAATCCGAGACTCGGAACCAGCGTCGCCCATATCACCCGCCTCACCAAAAGGCCTGTATTGCGTCACTCCACCGTTGACGGCGGCTGCTGGAGCGGACGCTGGCATTAAGCCCAATATGTTGACATCTTTACTAAATACACTTCACATAAGTGTACCTCCGTTGACGCCTGCATCAGTAAGTCATTCAGATCATTCAGTGTCGGCATCGAAAAATCACGACTCTATGTTGAATTTGCCGATTGGGGGAGACCTTGATAATAATAATCAATCAGATGCACTCATAGTTGTAGATATGATCTGGACAGTTGATCAAGACGACTATATGCAAAACGATGCCCGCCTGGATGAGCGTGAATTAGAGCAGGACCTCGTACTGCATGTTGCCTTCAACAATCTCGATGTGATAGCTAATCAGGAGACCATCGTTGAGCTGGTCACGTTTGCACAAAGCATTCTCAAGGCCACCCAACAGCAGGAAATGGCGGCACAAGTAGTCAGTGCGCAAGGACCATCCTCGCAATCATTCAAGGTAAGTAGAAGACGTAACGATTTGTTAGTCATTAGCTTCGTTCAAGTAAAATGAGGTCGAATTAAAATTATTTTTAGATGATGCATTGTAAATATTGAAGTACTATATTGATAAAGCAAAAATCAAAACAAGAATGCTTTATTTTATACAAAGCATGACAGTTATTCTAAGACAAAATTTTCCTTTTTTTTTTTTAAACTTGGAAGGTTTCTTCGGTAAATGTGAGCTTCGATTTCCACCGTCTTAACATACTTTTATTGCGTTCATCGACTGACAAATCCTGCACAATTCCCACTCGAGAAGTAAACCTAAAACTCGCAACGGCTACCCTGTCCGGAGCCAGAATCGATGCTCAAGTCGGAGATATATTAGACCTACAAGTTGTCCTAGGAGGGCTGCAGGTAACTAATAAAACAAACTCTAAGGGTCACCAAAATTCACTGAAACTCAACTTACGTGTTCTGTATACGTGCAAGACAAATCGAATAGCGTTGTGTGATTTTAAACTGAGTATGCTTGTAGTGGTTGTCGGAACAACCCAAATAAACCTAGGCATGTTTTTGAGCGCATTTCTTCGATATTACACAATTAGCTATTACTCAAATATCGTTGTTACATTGATGTAGAATACATTCGATGAGGTTCTATTTCGCTAAGTAAACGGTTATCTAAATTCTACTGTCTTACATATCAGTAAAGTAAGCTAAACTACAGTATAACCTAAAAAATCGCAGGTGTGCGACCTGTTGTCTCCTAAACGAATTAGGCATGAAAGACCGAAGTCAGCTGATCACGCTCCATCTGGCGCCTCAACCGGGTCCGCCTTAGCCGGTAATTACGTGCTAAGCGTGGGGATCAATCCGGACACTGTTGGTGACGAAGATGTTCCTCTCGGCCGAAAAATATATAATACTGGGTCGCCCGTAAATACCGGCGACTCAGCAGCTCTAATGCTACACGTTATTCGAGAATACCCGGACACAGCGGCTGTCCACTGGAATTCTACCCTCAAAAGACGGCAACAACAAGAACAACAACGACAACCACAGCAGCAAAATACTGGAAGCTTGAAAAAGCAACGCAAGGTAAAACAAATATGTCTTTACGTAACTTCTACGGATGTAACTGTCACTAAGACAGTCGAGATTTTCTTATATCATTATTCATATTTTTAGATTTATTTTCTATAAAATATAAGGAACAGAAAACTGTAAACATACATAAACATAGCAAGAATGCCCCTCTTTGCACGCTAAGAAATAAGCGAGAACTTATTGGTATCGTTAACGATGTACGAATCGTACTCGTTTTCTTAGACGGGCGTGACTGAGCGTCGATCCGGCAGTAAAGACAACCTTCTAGTCTTAGATCTACACCTCGCCTCAGTAGTTTACACCCACTGCCCGCGGCTCCTGCTCGAACTCACTAATTGCGCCTTTGAATTCCGTTCGTACGTGACAAAATTCGCTGCATCCCTTCGCGACGCGGCCGCCGAAGTTGCTAAAGGAATCGTTGGCTCCGAACTTCCTATACAAGATCAACTCAACGTCAAGTTAGTTTACCAGCACTAGTCTCATGATATACTGTCGATGCCCCTTAACTCAAGTTTGATCGCTGACCGCATCTCTGCGAATTCCACAAGATGGTCATTCTTTATTGTTATGATATGCTGGAACTAAAATGTTAGGTAGCAATAAGTATATTAATTGTCTCGATATCCTATTATTGCAGCGTATCTGTGATACTGGAAACGCCTGTAGTAATTCTTCCATGTGAGGCTTCGCGACCGCTAGTGCTCGTAGCTCATCTGGGTCGGGTGGCTATCTCTTCACTAACACCCCGACCTCAAGCGTACCGAGTTGAACTCAAGAACACTTCTCTTTATACACTCGATAGCGAGCGCAGTCCCGATCTGGACTGCGCGCGACATGGTAAGGCCATCCTTCATAACACTCACGTTGAACTTACACTGCAAAAAGGATGCAATAGTACAACAAACGTGTGTTCGAATTCGGTCGACGAGGAATTCATCGTGGGTCATATCGATATTGACGAAGCGGACGCAGCTAATGAGGATACGTGGCAGTTGGACGGCTACCTAGTCGGACCATTAAAGGTTGGTTTTTTAATGTAATTCTCTTCTTTTCAGCATCTTAGAATTTCAAATTATCTGAACTATCGATAATAAAACTTTATGACCGAGTTGAGTTGAATCTGTGTTTTGACATTACAACTTTTGACCTCGTGCGCTTCGCTTCGAGAGCTTAGATGTTCAGCAGCCCGATGAGAGGGCGAATTATTTGTTCGTCTACCAAATAATTGTTAACATGATTCTATTGAAACTTCATTTAGACTACTGTAACTGTCTATTTTATCAGTATTTTGCACGATTTGAACATCTTTCCTGTTTGTTTTTTTCGACTGTATACTTTGATCGCTTGCAGGTGGCACTGAGTAAGAGCCAGTTCAGCCAATTATTGGAAACTTTAGCTGAGATGAGTGGCAACACAATGGCCGAGGCACCGACTGAAAAAGCCGCAGTCGAACCCCTCGACGCAGTACGGGTCGGGGTCATGAAAAATGGGACAAATACGGCCAATAAAATAGCAGCAGCTGGGACTTTGGAGGCAGCGCGCATACGAGCCCACTTTGCCATCGCAGAGTTCCTGGTTGAATTCTGTGAGGAGCAGGGTAAACCTTTTGCACGGGTGGCTTTCCACGAGTTTGACTTTGAGATGGTTCGCCACCTAAGGCAGAGTCGAATCAATGTAAGTACCCCTTTGAGACGTGTAACGGAACAGGTTTTCTCATCATTATGACCTGCCTCTGTCCTAACTAGTTTGGCGAAAAGCTTAATTAAAGATAATCCGCCAAGGATGCGTTTATGGATTGCTTTCAGATGTCGCTACATGGACTAAACATGGAAGATCTTTATGAAGAAGAGACCTCAGCTCACCGTACGCTTATCTCCTCACAAGTAGTCCCCGAAACACCAATCGATACAGCATCAGGTGAAAGACCAGTAATTCAGCCAACAGCCGCGACTTCTTCAAAAGCAGCCCCAATACGATGCGACTACCTGAGCGTTTCTTGTCCTAGCCTCGGCATGGCACAGTTCACCATGGCAACGCCAGTATTTGATCAACCCGCACCTCCTCATAGAGATGATCTGGCATGCTCTGCGTTGAGCCATTCCCTTCCGGATGTTCTATGTACGAAGAATCTTTTTAAGAAATTAGACGAGCGACGCTCATTTACCACTCGACAGAGATCACGGCATGCTTGTTGCCCCAAAACATCTCCAGGCTCTACAACACAAGACAGAAATCACTGTCCCCAGACTCCACCTCCGTCGCCAACGCCATCATTGCACTCTGAACCAGCAGTTGAGTTTGAGAATCAGAGCAACGCTGACGGCCCCTCGGAGACGACTCTTGTCAAAATCGAAGTCGTCACACAGAGTCATGTCGGAGCACGCCTTTCGCCAGGCCACAACAGGCGCAAAGTGAACATCGACATTAACTCTCTCCTTGTCTGTATTAACGTTCGACCATGGGTGATGATTGTGGATTTGCTTAGTCGGCCGGCGTATGGATCAAGTAAAACAAGTTTGAAAATTGAGGGCGATTTGCCGATTCAAGACATGAATACGACCATCGAGATGTCTGTGCAGAATCTATCGTTACAGCTGAACTCGAGCAGTTACGAGATCTGTGAGGCACAGGTGCGACAGTTGTGGGTCCGTCAGGAAATGACTCCTTGTGGAATCAATATGCAGGGCCGACTCGGCAAAGTCTTGATCTTTGATCTCACGCCTTTTGGCGGCAAGGTAAGTGGAAAAGCTATGTTCAAACTGCTTTTATGCTACTTAAGAAAAGCTAAACTTTGTAAAACACATTTTATATATTCTGTCATCTATCTAATATAGGAAATATTCATACACCTACAAGGTAGTCCGATTAACTTTTTTCACTTTTCCGCGTGACAATTTTAGGTTTACCAAGAGCGCTTTGTAACGGCAGGCAACGAAGCATTCCAATTTGCTTTCCGTACAACAGACAGTGTCACTGATTGCTATACGCTCGAGTGCAACATTCCTGGCTCCGTGAGAATTGTACATACGCACCTATTTCTATGTGAAATTATCAATTTCATCAGTGAGTTCACCATGTCGTACGACTCGCTAACAGCCAGCGTGCCGGCGATGCACGAGGCTTCGCGACAAGAAGGTGACCTAATTCAGCAGCGCGAAGGACGGCAAAAAGCTCGGGTCGATCTTCGAGTAACCGCCGATGCGCCACTAATTGTCCTTCCGCGTAATTCTCACCACTTCGATACGCTCGTTCTTAACTTGGGAAGGGTTGATATTTGTACAACATTCGAGCAGACCCTATGCCTTAACCAGGTACAAGTTAGCTATTAATTTATATAGTTTGTACTATTTGCGCTGACTTCGAAGTATTTTTTATGAAGATATATGTCAAGAAGAAGTTCATACGTGAAAAACTCGGCCCGTCTAAAAAGGCAACTTTCCTATAGTTTTTATGTTTCCGAAAACTCAAAGAATGTGTGTAGAATTGTACATATAATGAATCTACGACCAGCCCTGACGAGGTACCAGGGCGTTTCTAGATCAACGAAATCAGTAGTCTTGTTGCTCATTTATTTGATAAACAATGTATGCCCTTTATTCAGCCTCTTTCGCATGTAGCGCCGCGGTTCATGTCGTTAATTGTAACAGCCTATAGGGTTGTATTCATCATCGGTAATTCATATCTTTGATTTGCAGGTTATGCAGTTATCTCTTTCCGATATGGACATGTACTGCGGGGAGTATATCAGAGCCCCACCGACTAGCTCTGGGGTAGGGAGGAAACACTCACTTGAACAGGTACCATTCCGCATTAAGAAAAAAGGCTCTTCGTTGCTGGATAATAAATTCGAATTGAGTCTCAAGGTGATGCGCAACCTCGACGCCGAAATAGTACACAGTGGTAAGTGCTATCAGTCGATTTGGAACTTTGCGAAGTTGGCAGATATCTTCATTAAGCAGAATTGAATACAATACATTTACACCTAACTAACTTTTTCTAGTCTAATCAATTACATGGCAGAACCAGATTATACGGTCCGCGGGCACGTGTCGCAAGCGTCAATTTTCTTAGATAAAGACCAGTATCAACTAGTGGCGGGAATCCTGTTTGAAAACCTGAGCGAAGGTGTTCACCTGCAAACATCTGCGCCGGCGCCAGTAGTGGCGCCCGCCCCCGAGGACGACGCCTGGCTGCATCTCTGTTTCGTCCTCGACCTGCATAACGTCACTTTAAGTCTCGTAAAGGAACGTGCAGAGACGGACAGAGACGAATACTCAGGCCACGACCTGGGTTTGGCCAGAATTGAGTTTATCGACTCGAAACTGTCTGTATCCCTGTTTACAAATGGACGAAAAGATGTCGACCTTGTGTCGCAAGAAATTCGTGTCTATGATACAAGGTTCAAAAGTGAGTTAGCCATGTGCATCGAACATTTTTTTCTATTAACCGACCACGTATTACACTTGAACTTCTTTGATCATCTTTACCAACCTATCGTTTTGTTCATATCTATGCATGTGAAAGGGTCCCATTGCAATCAGGCAGAGTTGTCGCTTTGTACCCGTGCTTCTAACTACTACTTATTTCTTTGTTGCGACTCTTGCATTGTAGACGCCGTTGAGCGCAAAAACGTATTTGCTGATATGTTATTGCCAACTCAAAGTGGCAATAAAGGCGATTCAAAAGCAAAAGAGACGCGAGGCCTTCAAATGGAGCTTCATTACCGGACGTTCCCCAATAGGCTTACGGTGCTTCTCAACAACATGCGGTTAATGGCCGTATTCGACTGGTTTCGTCAGACGTCAAGTTTTTTAGCTCTTCCGTCTGCAGCTAGTCAAACTAGTAGTTCTGCAGTAAATAAAAGTACCGCTGATCCAACAGCTAGCGGGCTGCCAACATTGCACGGTAGCGTCGACCATGGAATGGGGCATATGAACAGTCTGATGCCCATTCAACTGAAAGTTAGCATGACCGACACCGAAGTGGTTGTCGTTGAAGATGCTTCGACCTTTGACTCGAACGCCGTTATCCTCAAGTCAACAGCTGTACTCACCTGGCATGGACCAGCACATCGAGAGCGGCCTCTTATCTGCGACCTCCAAAATCTCGAGGTGTTCTCATGTGTTCTTGGCACAGAGGACGAAACAGCCCTGTCTATCATTGACCCAGCGACAATATCGTTCGAGTTGAATCTTAGACCTGTTCAAGCTACAATGTCGACTACGGTTGCAGCGATGTCGGAAATCTACGAACTCGAGGCTAGCTCACAGTTACTATGCATACGTTTGTCGTACAACGATATCAAAATGTTCCATCGAATCCTTGAGTGTGTCTCCGGTCAGGCTGTAAGGCAGGATGCCAATCAAGCCGAAGCAAAGATTGCTAAACTCCGAGAGCTGGGATTCTCACAGGTGGACTGCGCCATGGCGCTCGATCAATGCCAAGGAAGGATCGACGACGCTGCCCTGTGGCTTCTACAAAATGCACAACCATTGCCCGGTAAAGTTGCCATCAGTAACGGAAATCGAATAGCACTTCTTGGCCTGTCCGTATCAACGGCATCCGTAAAGTTAGCCGATTTTCGCATCTGTTTCATCGACGACTGCGGAAACGCCGACGTACCATTGTTGGAGTTGCGCCTCCGCGACACCGACGCGTCGCTGGCGCTTGACCAGCGAAACTGGCAGGTGCGATCATTAGTGCACATGGACTACTATAATCGGATTCTGTCCGGCTGGGAACCTCTTCTCGAACCGATTTCTATTGGGCTTCATTGGCGACGCAGCTCGTCGTCGATGCACATCGTTGAATTAGATGTAGATGGCCTCTTATATGTCAACATAACTTCGGCGCTAATTAACATCATTCAACGGGTTCGCGAGTCTTGGAAAGGTGACAACAAGGAATGTGCTCCGAGTGCGGCGGCTACTGCCGCAAACAAGAGAATACCGTTTGTGCCGTTCGCGCTGAAGAACTCACTCGGCTGCAATCTTGAATTCGCGACAACGACTGCTCTCTTAGGCAGCTCTGAACAGAGCCTCCAGCCCCAGCAGTTTTATAGGGTTAGTTCTTCCTTTCAATATAATTATAATGTGGAGATGAAATAGTGAAATGCGTCTCTGTAGTACTATTTAATATTGCACATTATTATCAATGTGTCGCTTCGAGCGATCCAGAAAGCGATATCGATACGGAAGGCAGAATTAAAGGGTGACTTCACGTTTTTAAGAATATTAGGTTCAATTTGCGAAGAGGATTAAGCTTAGGGTTGAAATAAAGCAAGCCCATAGTTGACGTTAGGGTAGAAATAGGTGTGGCAATTTAAAGTTATTCTTTCTTCAGGTGTCGATATCCAATCGTGATACATGATACCAGTTTATTAGTATTATAATGTCGCGAAGAACAAAGCGTGGAGAATAAATGCACTCGTAGACGTCATTAGGTCATATGCATGTGAAGGAACTGGGCTAGCTCTATAGCTAATTAAGCAGGTGCAATGTATATTTTTTTTCACCCATTTTTTCTACCTCTTTTTATACAATTTGTGGTACATTTCAGGTACCACCAGGTGCTACTGTGCCATTCGCGTTTGTGACAAGTCGTGGAGCGGCCAGCCGGTTGCGCCATCAAGAGTCGCACGAACTCCAAGCTCGCCAGATCATTGTTCGCGTCGACGGTTGTGATCTCATGGCACCCCTATCCGTCGATCGGGTCGGTACGTACTTCCGATTAGCAAAACCAGCCAATTCCACTGCCGAAGGTGCCGTGACTCGCGTTGTTTTCCATATTGAGCTGGAAGGTCCGGCCCTGAAAGTCATCAACGTACGCTCGGCTCTTATGCTCAAAAATTTCACCGACAGAGAGGTGGTAGTAAACATTACAACGTCGTCTCCAGTCGGTTCACTTCTGGCAGGTGAGCGTCTCACAATACAACAGATAATCCACCGTGTGTTGTTCTGCCATAATATCAAGCTTACAGGGTGAACAAGTGTCGCTGCATTGGCGTCCCCGTAGGCCAGTTTGTAACTCATAAATTAACCCATTTGCAATGCGTTTGTGTTTCTAGTTAACAACAAGAGCTTGCCTCTGGCAGCGAACTCGTCGCTTTCGTTGCCGTTTGCCTTCAATTATACGTCACTGAAGGTACGACCATTGCGAGAAGAGCGGCTTCTGCCTACGGAATTAGGCTGGAAATGTGTGACGTTTGATTTGCCTGAGGTGGGTGTCCAACGCGAATGCAGGGCACTACACGCTGGCATTTCTCCTTGTTATTTCGCTGTCACCGTTCGACGGGATCCTTATCCACGAGTCCTATTCAATGAAGCTGAAAAAGAGGCTACAGGCCATTCACTGCTGCTGCGTGCGCCCCTTAAACTGTACAATCTGCTTCCATTGGAGTTGCATTACTCAATCGAACGACCCGTACCGATCTGCGGCCGACTCAGTGGTGTATTAAAGAACCGATGTTCCGTCGCTTTCCATCAGATCCAATCGGAAGACAACGTTGTTATTATCAACCTCCAGCTCGATGGATACACAAGCGTAAATCAACTCGAGCTCGACACAGGCAACACCCCTGGAACGTACACCTATACACTATTGATGCAAGACGCGGAAAAGAGGTCGCTTCTACTCAAAGCCAACGTTGTAGCCGATCAAGCGAAAGCATACAAGGTACCTGGCGCTATGAAAGAAGTTTGCTTTGTCGTACGGTAGTTAGTACGTGATAGGTTATGCCAGGTAGAACAAAATTAATGAGCTGGATTTATCAAAGGATAATAATTATAATAAGAAGAAGAAGAATTACAGTGATTCTTATAATAAGCTTTTCATGCTTTTACCATGTATTTTGTAGTGTGAGGTGTCTGTTTGGTGTTTTTTCCCACCCTTGTTCCTCTTACGCGGATATTAGGCGGTGCTTTAAAGATTTTCAAGCTTCGAGCAATGTAGTCGTATTCTTGGTTCAACTTGTGTGGTTTGAAATTCGTTCCACAGGTATACGTTTGCGCCCAGTATTGGCTCATTAACCACACTGGATTGCCCCTCATCTTTAAGCAGGATGGTGTCTTTGCCGAAGCCGCAGGTCAACCACCAGAGCACGAGGCAGCTCGTTCAGTGGCCCCACTCCTGTTCAGCTTTTGTGACATGGAATCCCCCAAGTTGTGCTGTGTGCGTCTGGGGTCGCGTTGCCAAGTAGCGACGGCGAGTGCCGGTGGAGCCACCAGTTTTCAACCTAAATGGAGTCAACCATTTCCTCTAGAAAGTGGCGTGGGCATTTGCAAGCTATTTCTATCCTCAAACGACAACAGCCCCGATCGAATGTTCAACATCGGCATCTACGGCGAGCAGGGCAAAGGCGTTTACCGCGATACTCACTTCATCGTGTTTAGCCCACTGTTTCAGCTTGTTAATAATACGAATATGACGCTCGACTTTGCACAGAAGTTCGTGACAACACAAAACGGCAGCAGCAGCAGCAGCGGTAACAGTTCTAGTGGCAGTTTAGGCTACGAGCGCCACATTACGTCGGCTATGCCGAAAAGCTCTGTCGCGTTCCACTGGCCGCGCGTTGATCTTGAACCGTTGCTCTGTATACGCGCCGAGGGGTCTTTGTGGTCAGGCGGTTTTCACATCGATAAGGCGATGAGCTCGACGCACATCCACGTCCGAACGCTCAACATGCAGAGCCTATTTGTGCTTGTTGAGGTCCGTATGCATGCGGGTACATACATCGTGACGTTCAGCCAACCCGAATCAGCGCCGGAGCCTATGCGCATCGAGAACCTTTCCGAAGTGCCCATAACGTTTTGTCAAGCCGGCGCCAAGCCAGATCTAAATCGTCAATACGTCGTAAAAGCGTCCACTGCGATGCCGTATGCTTGGGACGAACCGACGATGGCGCCGTTGATCTCCGTAGAAGCCCCAGGGGGAACCTCCGAAATCTATGATATGCGCACATTTAAAGCAGGAAACCGTCTTTACTACGAAAACTTCTTCTATATTGCCTTTACTGGAACCTTCCTTGAGTAAGTCAAGTAAACGTGTTGCCGAATTGCCACCACTCTAAAATGGAACAACGATTAGAGTTCGGCACGTACATTAAGTTAAAAATATGTTAAACATGCTTTCTTGCAAGCTGCGTGCCACATAAGATTAATTACCAATTTATTATTTAGCAAAAAAAAATGCCTAATTGAAATGAAAATAGCACGCACTAACATCACTACAGTTTCAATTAATTTGTACGTTTAGTTACTTGGATTGAACAAGCATTCTTGTTGAAACTTTATTTCCCCATAGGCTAGTATTTACTGTGGCGATAACTAACGAGTAAAACGATTAACACTCACCGTATAGTAATAAATGTGAATTTGATTTCGTGCTTTTTTCTTCAGGCTACGACCGGCTGTGCCGCAGAAGTCTACACGCACTGTGCGTAGTCAGGAGCTTGTACTGGACGTAAAATCTGAAGGTCGTGTAATTATCAATCGTAAGATAACCGGCTCGCGTAGTCAGCTGTGGCGTATGACGCCCGATCGCATGCTTCAGCATGAGGGTAGCAGTACACCGCGTATACCGCAGGCTCGCGAAGCTTCGCCCGGAGCATCTATGCGAAGAGCATCGGGTAGTCAAGGAAGAGTATTTGTCCTAGACATCGACGCACCGGCCGCTGATCCCCATCGCTGTGTTCCGCTCGTGCTGCGCAAACCGGACCCGCGTCGGCGAAGCCTTCAGACGTGGACGTTCACGGAGGACGGAGCGCTCAAGTGTGATATTGAAAACCTCTACGTGCAGTCAAAGAACGGTTTGAAAGGCCTTCAAAAGGGCGTTGAAGCAGTGCTAGGTCCCAAGACAGCATACGAAGCAACTGAGTTTCTACCGAACTCGGCTATCAAGCCATTGGGCCAGACCACTCTATCGCCGAGTGGTTCGATCCGTGATGGACGACAGCATTATCCGTCTGCTCAAAGGCAACAGCTTCCATTACACTGCGGCGTTAGTATTCAGAAAATGCGCGGAGGCTGTGGTGTTCTCTGCGTCAGGGTATTTCTTGATGGCCCTACGATTGTACTGCGGGTTACCGATCTGACCCGGGAAGAGAGTTCTGCAACCGTTCCTGGTCACCAAATGTCAACTCCTTTGCCAGGACAAAAACGTCGTGTGGATAATAGTGGCAGCGATATCCAAATCAAAGTCAATTTCAAAAATGGGGTCGGTGTGTCCTTTATCAACGAAACGGAGGAAATCCTATTGGTGACCTTAGAGGGTGTACTGCTCTCGTTTTACCAGAGTTCAGCAGAAGATAGTCAGACATTCGACATGTCGGTACGACAAATGCAGATTGACAACATGCTCGGCGATGCGGAACGACCCTGTGCATTGTACATGAGCCCTCCGGAAAGTCGAAGCGACCAGCACTCGTATCTACCAGCGTTCTGTGTGAAAGCGTCGCGACTAATCAACTATAATACCGATACTCTCGTTTTTGACGTGAGTAGCTACTCGAATATATGTAACACTTTTTAAAACTCGTAGTGATAACGACATGTTATCCGCAACGTCCAGATTCTAGCTATCCATATAAAATGATCTTCTATTGAATATCGTATCGTACTATAGTAACGTATTTTTCTTACTAGATATGGCAGTACTACAGAGATGCTGGTAATTTCTTAAGAGCCGTGTATTCATCTGAAACTAACGGTGTGAGATTGTTGTTACTTGTTTTGGTTTGCAGCATTTCCTCGTCAGTATGAAGGACACCACATTAGCTCTTGAAGAGAAGCTAATGTTAAAGCTGTTCCAAATGTTCCAAGCATTTATCCCATGGCTAAACGAGACCGATGATCTGCATCTTATTGAACAACGCAGTTTAGCAGGCGATGTCCTAAGGGATTACGAGCGTAAGCTATACTTCAACAAACTCCAGGTAATGCCTACATCAATGCCGTAGTCATTGGCCATTTGGTGCACAATACGTAAAACAAAAAAAAATCAACTAACATTAGCTTTTAACAAGATGGAGACATCTAAATAGAATAGGGTCCTTTTGAGTGATGTTTTTGGTAATTAGATGTATCAATATTTAGAAATCCTGCTTTACGTTCACCAATATTTTTAAATCCAGCGTATATTCGAGTTGCATAGAACGGAGATACAAAGTCATTAAATTTTTGGACCCTTGCTGCACTCCTAGGTGGAGCAGCACCAGTGCAAACTAAGCGTCCTTCCAGCAAGAGCAGGCACGCTCGATGAAGGTCTCCGCCACGTAAAGAAACAGATCAACTGGAGTCTAATTCGATTCGAAGACGCCGTCGTCCACCTGTCGGAGTTTGAGAGAAACCACCCATTCGAGACACTTTCGTTTCTATTAGGAACCGCTTCAGCTCACTACAGCAAGGTAGCTTGTTTGTGTGTTATCTTTTAAATGGCATACCAAATAGTTTTAGAAACAGAACTTGAATGAATCATACCCTCTGTCTCTTTAACACAAAGCACCTGCATGACTCGAAGCGTAGCTATAGTTTGTATTTTAGTCACCTTCTATTGAATGTGCAACAGGTAAATTTCTTACTCGAACCCGATATATGCAAAGCGTAGAAGGTATCATCACTGAGCTTCCGGTAATACAATAGTCATTTTTATCAATTCGTTTCCAACTCATTCATGCAGGAGCTAAGCAAACAGGCGCGTACCATTATGGGCAACGTCGATTTCTTCGGGAGTCCATTGGGCTTCTATCAGGACGTTCGGGGCGGACTTAAAGAAGCTATTAGTGAGAAAAATCCAATAACACTGTTCAAGAGCATCACGCACGGTGCCTTGAATTCTGCAGCCAAACTTACTGGCAGCCTATCTGATGGCCTTCGCAGCATCGCTAACTTGGACAACAACGAGTCAGCTATCGTTGTGGCACCACCGACGGCTACAGGGACTGAACACTTTATTGGCGGACTCCGTGGGTTCAGCCGCGGCATCGTTTATGGATTTACGGGACTTATCGTACATCCTTATCATGTGAGATAATGTTGGAGCGTGGCGCCAAATTCAAACTGGAACTCACCTTATCAATCTTTGTAATACATGTACAGAAGTGATTATCTAACCAGTGAAGCCGCTCCATGCGTCTCTATACGATTTTCGGACAAAATCTACGAAAATAGGCTATGTGTTAAGGCTTTGAAAAGGACTCCCTGCAAAACGTTAATTCGTTTAGCCTACCATTTTAGCACACGATTTTTAGTTTTAGTAAAGTGAAAGGTCAGTTACGTCGTTTTACTAGAACTATGCTATACTCGAACTTGTGAACTATGGTTGAAGCTCGTAATATTATTAACTAAATTAAATCTGGACCTTTGTACGTGTATCTGATTCAGGGCTTAACGACCGGTGGTCTGACAGGTTTTATGGAAGGAGTAGGCCGTGGCCTGATGGGCTCTGGAGTTCTTCCTACGGTGGGCGTTCTCGATTTGGCAACAGGCATGGCGGCTGCTCTGCGTGATTCTGCTAAAACCCATGCCAGACCGGAACGGCGCCGTCCTCCGCGTCTAAGCCGTGGTCCTCGAGGTCTACTTCCTGTTTACTCGGCTCAGTTAGCCGAAGGCCAGATGCTACTGACGCGGATTCTCGCTGCGAATGCAGCACACAGCCCCTCCGAACGGAACGCTGCAAAGGAATTGTGAGTGCATGCATACAATAAATAATTCAGTCATGCAGTCTAAAATTTTTCGTGCGCGTGCTCAATTCTTGCCATACTTTTCTCCCTTTCAGGAAACTAGATTTATACCATTCTGTAGTGGTGAATTCAATTGAATGAACCAAGCAGTGTAGCTTGTTATGTTCTGCTTTGATTTTTAAACGTTAACTATTGTAAGGTAAATGAGAAATTATGGACATAAATGAGGTACTTAGATTTTCTCTAGAGGGTTCAATGTCACGCAAAAGCCGGATGTTGTATAGCTGAATGTAATGCTGACCAGTCACGTTTTTCGGTGGTCACTCTCTGTAGCTTCCTCGTAAAGCATCCAATCGAAGACGGCGGTCTTCTTGTCGTGTCCAACCAACGAATCCTTCGCGTTTCCACGAAGCATATTCTACTTGACGAGGTAATGTAAACAGATTTTCGTTTCGTTCGCAAAACGTGTTCTCCCTGACATCGTGTCATTAATAATGACTGAATGTATTTGCTTCTGTTTTTTTAATTCAGGTACATCTGAGCGAAGTGCGTAGTGCTCACCTCTGTGTCACGGTGGGTTGTTCTTCGCTGGTTCTTAAACTTGCCGAATCTTACCAGCAGCATAAGCGCATTGACTGCGGTGATTCTGACGAGGCCAACATTTCTGCCATTCGAGAGGTGACACAGATCGTTATCACGTATTCAGTAGTAGATTAATTGTAGAAAATAGTACGTTTATCGGTATTGGCAACGTAACCAATCGACTTCGATGATTCTATTATAAATTTTACGCATCTCCTCTTCCGTCACCTGTTCGCTTTACTGACCTGCATCGTATTGTGCCGCATCTACTACGCGTAATAGATAAATAAATGATCACAATAATATTGGTTCTTTTTTGTTCATTTATTCGTCGTTGGTTATTGCAGATTGAAAAAGTGATCAACTACGCCGTGTGCACCTGCGAAGAGGAACGATTCCGTGTTATCACTCCTGACGATGATGCAGATTAGACTGGTTTGTTTTCCAGAGATAATGATAGAGGTAATTTGATTTTGGGTTCGTAAGGAACTGTGTTAATGAACGGCGGGGTCTGTGCCTTTGAGCCGCCATCAATGGCGTCGATCGCCGATGTATCACTCTTTTAGAAGCCAGATGTTTTTAGTGTGTTGTTCGTTGTACTTTCATCCAGCAACGTCCAGTCGAGTGTTATGTCTGCTCATAGCTTACAGGAAAATCACGAACATTGTAACAATATTTTTTATGTTTTTGCGAAACATGGGTGATTTTAGAAAACCCTGATAGGTTCCCGACATAAGTTAGCCTGCGTATGTTTTCTCAATGTTTCATACTGCAGTATACGTGTGTACATGAAAATGATTATATATATATATATACAATGTGATAGTATGACATACGCTCGTCGCACTGGTTACATGAAGACACCTTTACAAATTCCACCGCTAGCCACTGCCTTGATCAAGGCTGCCTAATTTGAAACCTAGGCCAGCAGTACTATAATGTTATGGTTGTAATTGCAAATCAGGTCGGACAGACGGTCTGATTCGAGAAGTAGCTGTCTTTAGTGACTAACGACGGTTCCGAGCTGGCAGTTACACAGGACTAAACAAATAAAAAGCGGTAGTGGTGTCCGAATGAAGATCAATCAATATACAATACTTTAGACGCCCTAAACGAACAACTGATAACCTTATTAGGCGCTTTCTAAATAAAAAATAGATATATCTTACGATCGAAAGAAATCATGATTATACAAGTTAGCTAAGTGCCTAAGGAGTCAAAGCTGCCAGTAATAACAGTAATAAAGCATCGAGTTGAGTTATCAATGGCCGTAACTACTGACAACGGCTAATGAGCTATTCATATCGTCTGCTCCTTGGCCACTTAGTTTGTCTGATAGTTCACTAAGCTAACACGCAATCGCATCATACGGACGAACTGGGAAAGATAGAGGAATAGCAGCCGCAGTCGGGGACTCTTATTCTATCCGGAATATCAACGCATTGTTTGCACTGAGATTGTCATCAGCTAGCTATCAGAATGTGATCCCGTTTTCCAGTCTCTCTCAAACAACGAAACCACGAAAATTCAAAGGTTTTATGAGCCTACGCGCGCGTAGGCTACCGCGTGTACAAGATCAATAACATGAAATGAAATTGACAGTGTTTGTAAATCGGAAAGAGGTATTTCAATACAATTCTTAATGGATTACGAACGTGAGAAAAGCTACCATGCTTTCTGAAAAAGACAGGACGATGTACGGCTTCTCGAAACTGTGTTCGTGTGGCCTGCACACAGGTCAAACCGCAAGTGTGAATGCGGATGTGTGTCAAGTAAGCTACAGAGGAAACGCGCGGTTCTTCAGCGCGGATACGTTGCTGTTGAGATGCAAGTCGTAGCAGCTTTTTTAAAAAAAAAAAAAAAAAAAAAATGCGAAATAACGATAAGATAAAGTCGAGTGATGAAAGTTATGCTTGTCTAAAATGAAAAACAGCATTACTGCACCGTACCGACTGATTGACCGACCGAGTCATTGTAATTATGCGTCGAATTTTTATAGGACATTAGGGGGTGCTGTTTTTAAGTTACCCAGCAAAAGGTCGACACACGGCTATTCAATCATACAAGATTATATAACATTGTTTAGAAGAGAATAGGTATGGGTATACAAAATAAAGCTTTTGTTGATTACTACTATTATTATTAGGGATGGGTAAGAGAAAGAATTAATAAAAAGTAAAACCCTACATTGTGTGAGTTAGCATCTGTGAGACCAGTGACAACCTAGACGAATGTAAAATGCGCGAAAAATAACAAAAAAAAATTGTATATATGGAAGTATGTATGCGTAGAATAAAATTATTACGTGAAGCAACAGTGATAATAGTTATTAGAATAAAAAGCAAATTTCATTAATAAAAATATAATATACTATATAATAAGCAAAGCCAGTATTAATATATTAGTGTACGAAAAGAATGTACACAAGAAGAAATTTGTGCTTCTATTTCTATAAAATTGCTTCACTCGCTAAGGCTGGGCAAAGGATCGCCTCAGTACCTGCTCTCGTATTGGTAACAATTAATTGTGCTTGCAATGCTTTTGGATAGGTTTGTAGCGTATTAAAATTTTGCAGAAAATAAGATTCTGTCATATTAGTCTATGTCAATATTTACAGATGAATAAACTTAGCTCTGAAAAAAGAATCGAAATAAATAGAATTGCTAGTTACCGAAAATTAAAATCACGTAGGTATACTGGCATCAAGTATTATATATCGTTCTTGTTCCGAGAACACTGTTTGCGCCAAAACAACCATATGGTTTTCATTTACCTATCATATCCTATTCGTGGCAATATGTTTTTTATACGGATTGTCTATCTGTAAATGAAATCCACAACCAGAGCGCCAAGACGTGGTGGCTAGTCTGCTTATCCGTTAACTTAAAAAATGGCAAGCAAGTGGCGTGTTCGGGTCCGAACATTCACGCAATTTTGATTTTTCACGAAGGTAAAGAAAGAATCTCAGCAGAAAAAGACAGGATCTCGCAGGTAAATGAATAATAAATCTGTCGACGTGGGAAAAACTGAATGATGCCGAAGACCTGAGAGCCCTTCTGAGACAGTAAGGTAACGCGCTACTAATATGCCGATAGAACTGCAGGGCGCGTATGAGAAGGTCGCGCGTGCTACTACAGTTCGATAGCGCATTGGTTGGGATTGTTTTGTGCTGGTAGCGGAAATCGATTTTTTGAGACGGTTTCCGTAACTGTTTTGAATAATAACAAAAGTAATAGCTCCGACAATGAACAAATGACCAATCACTTAAAAAGACGACGCACCCAATTTGTATACAACCCTATAACAACTTTATTAGGCTATTCTGTTTTTGTTACGTTGTCTCCTGCTTTTGATTAATTTAGTTTTATGTACAATACGCGAGTAGACAAAAGTTTTTATTATAAAAGCCATTTTTTGCTGCCAGTCTTACGCCATAACCAGTAGTCTTCACATGAGTAGGCGAATGGATGTCTTCTCAGACAGGACTTTGGTGCCGTGAGCAGGCCGCGCAGGCTGGCGGACAATGCCACATGAATGTCCTAATGGTCGTTAATCTAGGTCAGACATCACGCAACGGCAGCTCGCACTTCTTTACAATACGGCAGGGTCTATTGGTAATTTAATTATTATCCCTAGTATTTTAACGTCCACTGTACGTACGATACCCATAACCGTCTATTTATTGTAACTATCGCTTTATCCTTATATAATTGCGAAGTGTTTTATCACCTTTTAACTGTGAGAACTTCTTTTACAATTCATACATAATTTAAATTTTCATTATGTTTATATGTACCGCAACTACCTCGTGTGTTACCTCCTTCTTTCTTAAATAGCAGATGTGTGATATAAAAAAAGACCTTCAACACAAGCTCCTGCTATAATTGTCTGTAACAAACGTAGCCGTAACGCGTTATTGAATAAAATGTATGTTGATGGTATGTTTGGGAAAAAGAAATAAAGAGTTCCCGTCGTGTCCAATTGGCTAAGCATGGCGGCCCTATAAATCACATGCAAGTCAAACATTTCATGAACAATTTAAATACTTTCCTTTCAACCATAAATTGTGCTTCTACAGGTAACGTTCTCAAGAAGAATCGATATTTTCTTTTATTCATAGAACTGCTAATAAAACTCAGAATATTGTTAGCAACGCTAGATGTTCCTTCAATACTGAGTGCGGTGCACTGGTAAAGGTAATGTAGTATATATTAAGCCAGGAATCTACACAATCTGATAGAATTCTGTTGTTGCTAAGAGGGACAACTTGAGTCTATTATGCCTCTTTTTGCGCGCTTGGGATAATAGATCACACTAGTTAGTGTGTTATCTATGTGTACCAACGTTCTCTGTGTCTCCCTAGTTATGTTCTACCATTTCCTGTCGTCACTGGTCTAATTTACCGTATCATTCGTGGCCTTGTTGGCCAAGATCACAGGATTAATTATTGTCATAATAACAACATTTTTGCGTATTACGCAGGAAAGGTCAGGCAGGCGGGGTGTCCTACAGAGAGGGGCTATTGCCCCGCGAAGCCAGTACAAGACGTATGGCACGGCTAGTGGTAAATATATGTTCCAGGCAGAGTGCGTAAAGAGCACCTTTTCGATCGATAAACGTTGTATTGATTAATTACTAGCAGGGAACCTGCTGATCTTTCGGACGGCAACCCTGAGGACGCAGTCGCTTGTTTGCGGTTACTCCGTCATCATCGTCGCTGGTGTCATCTTCCAATGACAGTTCTTCTCTGGTTGGAGCCCGTGCACCAAATGCTTGGAGTAACATGAGACATTGGGTCAGTTCAGGGATCTGGCTTCCGTGCATAAGCTTCTGCTTACGATGAATCCTCATGATTGCGGTACGTCCGGCGTAATCTTCCTGCTCGATTGAGGCACCAGAATTTAGCAAAACCCTTACCATATCGGTACGGCGTTGCTCAATCGCCAGCTGAAGCGCTGTACGACCTTCGCGCATTTCGAGGGTGTTGGCGTGACCTGCAAATGGCAACAAGGCCTCCAACACACGAATATTCCCCGACTCTACAGCTAGGTGTAACGGGGTCATACCAAGCGAACACAGCTGATTCAGCTCGACCAGCTTCGTACGCGGTTGTGCAGGAGTCACAACTAAAAAACAACAAAGAACAACATAATTATATCTCGAGTGCTAGCTACAGAGTATTTATCTTTTCTGTTTATTGCCTAAGCTAAGTCATTTTTGTCTGGTCAAAGTTAGCGCAGCTTTGTGCGACAGCTCTTCTGTTTCGACTGAGGCAGCCACCCAAAGCAGATAGCACAGCGTATTACCGAAGATGGGACAGATCAGTAAGTACAACAACCGATAATCATTTTAGAATAATTTCATCCCATAAGAACAACAGACGAAGTAATACTTGCGTTCCGAAAAGAAGGATCCCGCCTCTATCACTATTAAATTATGAAGCGAACACTGATCATCGGTTTCTCGTTACCTACGCTAACCGAGTGTCCTATCCTACAGACAAGGCATGTGCAAAATTTTAGCGTGGACTTGTTAACATCTTTGGTTTCTCCGAACACTCGGGTTACATATAGTGTGAAGGAGAGAATAGTTGAATATAAAATAAAAAACAGTAGTATCCGCTGCTGGATAATTCATAAATTAGACAGCCACTCAGCCTTAGTTAACCTTTTGTGACGGTTTATCCTAAATAGCTCAACATATCATCTGATTCATTTTGTCAATCATTGTACGCGTAAGATATCGGAAAGTACTGGACGTTTCAATAGGCGTGGCATAGAGCAGCGATAATGATTAGAACCAGAACGTCAGTCTTCAGTCGTTTCGAACATAACGACAGCTTGCTGCTGTTTGTTAAGAGACGGGAACGAGTTTCGTCACATGCTCGCCATTAGTTATGTTGAAGACAGAATTGAATGGATGAAGAAATGATCAGAAATCTATGTTTAGTTCTATGAACGATGTCAGCGAAAAAGAGGGCGAGTGCTTGGTATTGATAAAGCCCCTTCTGCTACGTCCGTATATTACGCTGTTCAGGTCGAGAAAATCCTTCTTGATTTGATTATATCAGGTGCAACCTTAGCTAAATGACAGGACCAAATTCTGCCAGGACTATCTATTGCGCTTATAGAAGTTGCAAGAGCTGCATCGGATAGTTGATTTTTTGATTATTTTGAGTGAAATGAGCACCTAGTGCATAATACATATTTGTGTAGAATAACTTAGAATAAAAACAACATTGTCTATAAGAACAGCAGTCGGAGCCAAGTTTTGTTAGTTAGGTCTAACAGTGATTTCTGTTCAAATCCCAATTTAGTACTAACCGTAAAATGTTAGGCCAAGTTCACTTATTTCATCAGCGCGGGCAGGTGCTGTGATCGCGCGAACCAGCGCTTCGTTACCCTGTTCGTTAATGAAGCAACAAAAAGAAGCCAATAAGATATGTTGGACCGTCAAATAAATGTTTTAAATATGGTGAAATTTCACACGCCTCAATCCACTAAATTTGTCAGTACAATTTACTCTCGGATAAGAAGAATCTGTGACAAAAAGCAGGTACGTTTTAGCGAACCAACGGTCGACTCGTGCTATTCACCTTTTGCGCGGCAATGTGCAGGGGTGTGAAGCGCAGATCGTCCGGCCGATCAGCTGTCGCGCCGGCCAGTACAAGGCGTCTCGCACTCCAGTCGTCCTCGTGCTCACAGGCAACATGGAGCGCCGTCTAACAGAAACATTAGAACAACAGGTAAAACGAGTAAACGTTTTAGCCACTCTCGGTTGTTTCAGAGTAATTACTACAATAGTAAATATGAAAAAGAACTCACAAGCCAATGTAATCGTAACAAATAAAGTTGAAAATAAGCCAGCTTTTTGCATGCCTCTAGAAAACCCATCCGGCCGCACACGGATGCTATCGGGATGTCATTCTATCACAATTTTGCTCAGTTTTACGCCTGACAAAATTTATTCATCCTAATAGCATCACGTATCGATGTGTCATACGTGAAGCAGATCGTTTACGCAATGGCCTTATCACGCATAGTTAAAGTCATCGCTTTAGACGATAGTCCAGGGGCTGACGTAGCGTTCGTACTGACTTTAGATATAAGCCGCACAAATTCAAACAAAAAATCGTCGATGTTAGCCGATGTTGGCCTTTTATTAGCTGGAGGTCAATTCGAGACGGAATTATTGCAATATATTATTACAATAATAATAAAAATTTATTCAACGTTTATCTAGCCTGTGTTTTTATATTCGGCGCAACGGGTAAAATAAAAAATTCAGATTCTTCACAAATAAAAAAACGAAATCGTTTTTAAATTGATTAACAGGAAACCCATACTTTTACCTCCAGTTTCTTTAAGGTAAAATAAAGCACTGATAACAATAAAAACAACTTCTATTTCTTATAGACTCTAGGAAATGTTTATTATCTCCACTAACTTAGTTATCCACTTTATGGTAAATTGGGAATGAAATTCAATTCATAGCTAATGGTGGATGGGACCGCAAACGGCATAGGTATTTTTTGCGACTAATCAAGTACACGGTTGCGGCCCGACATTTGTCAACAGAATAAAACGTCATGAACTCTATTGTTAGGGGCTCGCTACCGCCATCACCATCATTGTCGTCACCATTTCTGTCACCGCGATGCATTTTTATCGTTTTCCTCGTACAGTCCCCCAACAAGTCGAGCGTAAACGTCCAAGTAGCTCACTTTGGAAAAATACGGAAATTTATCTTGAGTAGTAAGAGGAACCTAGATAAACAGCCATGCGCGTTTTGCAACATCTGGTCTCCTCAGAAAACCCATGCTATACGGAGCCAGTACGAAGACCTTGGGCCTATGGCTGCCGGCGGTAGAAGTCAGGCACAACGAACCAGCTGTTGCTGGATTTCGATTAATCGAAAAGTGCGGACTTTATCCGCTCGAAAGTGTTGTTGCTCGCTGATATAGCGTGCGCTTTTGAAGTAACCTCTGGAGGCGCTTTTGAAATAACGGGAAGGCAAATCATGCACCCTTTGCTTAGATCGCCTGCTCTAACGGGTGCGGTTAGTCGACACTTAGGTGCTTCCCAAAAATGAATATTGGCGCTTGCGACCGGGCTAGAAGACCTAGCTCTATTGTCAGCAGATGCGGACGTGGCTGACAAGCTACCAATGTCGTTGACACTGAACGTGGTGTGAACAGATCTCTCGAAATAAACAATATGTAATTATATTTAGTATATGATAATGATCTGGCTGCTTGCACAGTAACATCAGTAATGGCAACCAATGACAATATGATACACGCACTCTGTTTAATGCTCAAGCACATATACAATATTTCTATTCCTGAAGCAATCAAGCTTAGAAGCTCGATAATAGAAGAGGTGGTATGCAAGGTGCAAATATCATTATTAAATCAGACTGACTATAGAATCCCATGGGAGTTTCCAGTAACGCCCACCGATTCGAGTAAATCAAATGTCCTTAAATCTAATCAAGGTTTTAATGGCGTTGGGTGTGTCTAGAAAGTTATCTATTGAAAGCCTGTCATGTTTAATGATAAAACGAGTTACCCACATTGCGATTACCTTGGGATTTTCCTAGAGAATTTACGCTGTGGTTCGATGCCTAAAAGTACCAACAACTAACCGTTACCCTTTTTTTCCCATTTAAAGTACCGTGGCAATTGCCAGCACGAGTGGTAGAGAGATTCATGCCACCAGCCTCTTAGTCTTTGGCACGAGAGAGTTATTACAGCCATAGCTAGCTCTGCCATTTATTTTCAACTTGGCAAAAGCATTGTACCGGAAATACTGAACGGCAATAACATAGGGAAGTACGCCAGAACAGTGTCATTGTTATCCTTATTTACGCATCGTATAGCAGCCGTTGTCGCTTCTGCCATCAAACGCTACCACGGCAGACCCGATCACTCGTAGAATACAACACATATAATAATGACAGGTAAATGGATAGACAAATAGCTACCTATTGGCGTCCTCGGAACCGATGGGGTATTCCCCATACCAGCCCCAGTTACACATATTTCTTATTTGAGAGTTTCCTAACCATGGAATAGCGGATAGCGAGACAACTAGCGACCCAAAACGGAGTAACAGTAGCAGCAATGGCGTCGTGGCACCAACATTAACAGCTGGGAAATTCCTCAATATCCACTACACACAGTGTCCCCTGTAACTATACGCCAACAAACATTAACGACAGCAACATCCAATGCTCGTATAAACACTCTCACACACCAATAAACAGAAAGGCTAGCGGATCCGTCCGTTGTCAGCACCAGCCAACACATGTTTGCTATAAGCCGACTGCCCTGTCAGCAGGCCAGGACAGCTGTGTGCGTGTGTGTCATGGAACGAAACGGAAAAATGTGCAATTCTGCTGCGCATAATGCTGCCAGTAGAATCCATGCCTGGTGACGAGAACGGCGTTAACTTTGTTTGATTGACCCACACATCGACGGGCCACGGCAGCAGCAGCCGCAGTAACTACGCCGTCTCAGCGTACCCGCGCTTATCGAGGCCGGGCGAGTGGGAGGTCCCAGAGCGACGCCGAGGACAACGCCATACTAGAACTGATTTCAGCAGCTGCCGAATGATTCATTATGAGCGATATGTGCATAGTTCATTCATATTCACCGCAGCATAGGGTCAGTCAATGGTGACTGAGCCAGAAGCGCGGCTGAGGAGAAGCTCGCGACACCATCCTATCGAATTCCTCTCTTCTATGGGCCTGCTAAAAGGCAACGTCTCTAACGAGATGATATCATAATCGTCGAGAGCCACTTCATTGTCATTGAGCATCGGCCCAACCGAGTATAGCATCTTTTCGCAGGTTATTTGACTACGTGCGTTTGGAAAGTCGTGACAAATATTGCACTACTACGCGTTCTGACAACGCGAATACACGCCGTCAGAACAAACAAACAGGCTCATAAGTTTGTTTGCAGGAAATGACACGTAGAACTAAGGCTAAAAAGGTGAATAGTACCATCGGCAAACGTTGCATTGCCGGCCGTTGTCGTTAGAGTCGCGTGTAATTCTGATTCGTTAGAGGACGTCCACTGTAAATTATGGGAGTATTTGGAGGGAGCTTCGTTTAGGGGCAGCGTTCTATTATGTCACACGTGGTCGATGAGCAAATGTACTATAAATTCACGTTCAATCTAAAAACGATATAGCGGACGATCGACGAAAGAATACAGCTAATGATAAACTTTATCTTGACGATTTTTTACGGTAGAGTTGTGTCGAGCCTATTCCGAACGTTGAACAAATTCACCTAGTAACGTCGCGAGCGTGCTCGATGGAATCAACTAGAATTAGCCAAACGGAAAATTCCTGTCCGTACCTAAACCCTATGTAGCTACAGTAAAAGCTACCACCGTATCGGGAACCCATACTAAAGGTTTATTTACAAGAGTCACGTCGTGTTATTACACATACATTCACACAAAACGCTCTTCACTACACAACTACGTAACATAAAGCACACACATTATTATCTAGTAGACTGAAGTGGAAATTGGAAAAAAAAACGAAGCGGACAGAGAGGAAATCTCGCAACGGAACTATTGTATTCGACAAGTACGCTATTTGAAGGAAGGAAAAAATCGACGCTCACTGCGCCCAGAACCTTTCCACGTTTGTTAACATTTCCAAAAATCCGATCAGCTTCTGTGATATTATTAAAACACGTGGTGTAATAGCAGAAAAAAAAATCAGTAAATTTTTTTTAAATAAGTAAATAACAAATGATATAATCTATACAATAACAGGATATAGAAACCGACCTGGCCATAATTGTTAGCGATGTCAAGCAACTCGGGCGTTGGAGTAGCTCTCATATACTGTAACAGCAGCTGATGATGGCCTGTGTCAGTCTTGCCGGGCGCAGCCGTACTGGCCAGCATTCGATGAAGCACCGTATCTCCACATTCATCCTGAGAATAAATATTTTGCCAGCTGAATGCCCACGATGAGGTTTCTTCGAGAATTAGTCCCGAGTCTAATCCGCTTTCGGCGTTGCTCACCTATAAAGTTGAGTTAGCATTATTTTAGTAACATATATATGAAACTGCTTGTTTTTTTTATTAACATTTTTTCTAGCGGCCCATCCAGTAGTTCTCTAGTATCCATGTAGCGTTTGGCAATTGCGAATGAGAGAGATATTAGTGTAAAAATCTGTGACCGTGTCAATCAGACATATTCAAAAAATAGCGCTACATCAAGTAGCGACTGTTTGAACTATCGGCTAAATGATTAGACATTAGACAATGTTTGCTGTTATGGTCCGTTTATATATGTTTCGATTGCACCTAATTTAGCGTAAAACGCAAAGTTGAGTGCGAAAGTGAAACCAGAACATTTCCCAAACCGAAGATGACAAATATGTTCCCGATCGTGCATAGCGAAGAAGCCTATAAAGAAAAAGTAAGACTCGTTCGGATGTTCAGGATTTGGCTAGAAAACTAAACGTTTATCGATGATGACATGTCTAGCCAGTATTTAGTGCTTTCTTTATTTATTAGCAGCAACTTTGCAGTAGTAACGTAATAGTAAACGATACGGTTGAGTTTTATCGAAGCGTACCTCCTCTGAACCCTATAAAGAAATAACTCCTTAAAATATATAGTCGTACACATAAATACATGGTCAAAGATAGTTCTTACGTTCCGTTTGTTCGTTGCAAATCCAAACTGCTTTTCGGCCACCTTTAGGCGTCTGTACGCAGGAGTCATTTTCCCATTTTTGAGCTTCTCTACATCGACCGACTGGCAGCTGTTGATGCAATGAAACTGGTGAAAATCAAGGCAGCACTGTGAGCGCCTATTGCACAGGTAGAGATGCATCTTCACTCAGACTGACGTACCACAGGACAAAGCGAAAGCACACGATTCAATGCTACAATTAGCTCAACCTTCTTCGCGAGGTATGCCAGGAGGATAGCACAGTGAGGAACGGAAATGCACACTTATGCTGGTAATAATAGTCGTGTTAATGGCCACAGACAATTAGAGTTTCCTCATGCTGCTCTAGTCGATTTCTTTGAATAAATGAGACCTGGCATCGCATGCCAGCTAAATGACCATGGAACTACCATACATAGCCTAGGAACTGCCGCAAGCCCCATCTGTACACCAACTACGAAGCCCGCTGGCCCAGGCGTGATGGCCACAAAAACTAAAGCTTTTTTTTGTGGAGAATCACTGTCACCGCTTGTTCTGCCGAAATTCAAATTGTAGCTGTCTTTTACAACTAAACAGCTTTCGACCGCAATCTAAATTACCTCTCACCGGCTGCCGTCGTTGACGCCATCGCCGCTGAGAGCAGCCTGTGGTCGTCGGATCCACCGCAGAGATCGCGTTTGCACGTGCTATCTTAATCTGCTGGGAACTGTTGCCACCGCCGTCGTCACTGTGGCCGCTGATGCTTCCTCTAATAAGCACGCTTCAGCTGTTCGAGGCCAATACGCGCAACGAGCAGTCTCTGATATTGATAGCATTTGTTCACAAAAACGTGACACTACCGCACAACACCGTATTGAAATAAAGACGTCGAAACAAACACTGTCTCGCATGTTCTTCAATACGATCACAGCAGCGCACAATCATGTAGAAGATTGTACATAGGCACACCAGGCAGTTACACACTGGCGGTCTCAGCACTGAGTCGCCGCATTACAGGAAGCAGTTGAGACACTCACTGCGTTTACTTCTTGCCTAAACAGAATCGCTGGATCAGCTGGACTAGTTAACACGACTTTTCTAGAGTGGACTGTTGCCTTTTTTTTTTTTTAGCTGTTCTAGCTGTCTCCAGCCTTTGTGGCTTCAGGAGTTCCCTGAAACTTAGCTAACAGATATCAATCTGAAATGATCAGTTGATAGTAGCAAATATGCATATGCACAAGAGAGTCGAGCCGCTATCACGCAGCAAACCCTGTCACGCTACAATGACAGATCGATCCGATTCGTCTGGCTTAGATGCGATGTTCCGGCTGCTGTGTGTTAGAGAACCGGGGCAGCAGGCGGTGGGAGCAACGCGTTGGACAGCTCCTTCGTAGTCAGATCAGATCACCGAGTAACATTACGCTTTGCTGAGATTGGCCTGACGTAGTTGTGCCTTTACTATGAAGGACAGTTGCTGACTTGCCATTGCCTTGGTTAACGTTATAGTGGCGGGAATCTTTGTTCCGTCCGCGTCAGGGCTCCGCCACCATCGCGTCGATAAAGCCGCAGACACTACGGTCGTTGTTCCCTTGTGTTGAATCAATGAACGGCCAATTACAGGAGCAGCGGCGACACAATCGCTAGCAACCAGATCCGCGGTAGCGATCCACAGCAAAGCATTCGTCGTTTTAGCGAGCGTTGGGTATTCCCACGACCTCCCCCCGCCGCCAAAGCCATTGCGAACGCTAGCGACCGTCTGCGCTATGATGGCTTTCTGTCTGGTTGTCTATTTTATGATCTACCCGAAGAGATTTTCTATGCTGCCTATAGTACGACGGCAGAAGGATATTCTTCTGCTCAATGGTAGGAATATGATGATACTCAGCTTCGTCGTTCACAGAACGGCCATTCTAGCTGACTGCTCCCTACCTTTGCCAGCAGGTCTGCGATCCCGTGCGAGCGCAGGCGATGACACCCTCGCCTTCTCGACGCAGGCAGCCAAGTAACCTTCATTGCTAATTGCCAGTAGTAGCAATAACACCAATAGGCCTACATGACTGATCTGACAGGTTTCGAGGAAGGCTGGCTCTCCTTCAGCAACTGCTGACTGCTGGTGTCTTTCGCACCATGACGAAATAGCATAAATGAGTGTTTGTAGAAGAAGTAGCACCAGCGTCGGACAATCCCGTATCTAGCAGCAGCAGCAGCAGGGAAACAGATACTGTTGCGCTATTGTACCGTATTGGCAGATCGTACCACAATTGGAAAGCGTTTAGCTCGTTCGTTCTTTTTTGCTGTAGCGTTATCACAGTATTATAAATAAGTTTGTTTGGCGGGAAGGCCTGACATTATACCATTGGCTGTAGACTCTGAAATAACTAGTAAGGACCGGCAGCCAGCTAAATGTATGTCAGCTAAGAGCGGGCAAGGAAATTGCGGTGCAAATCGCACCACGGACACGACAGAGTGGCCCACATGAAATAATCCCAGAACTGGTTAATGTAACATAACATGCTAAAATCGAAATAGACTATGGATCAATAATGGACCGCTAGTTAACTATTGCGAATTCTGCTAAAGTCGAGTTCCGGTGACAGTTTTTTTGGTCCTTCAGCTTTCACGGGCATCTAATTCTCCGAAATAAGAAGAGTGTATCTCTACAGCTCAGCTGGTAGTCGATTCCTGTGCGAATATGCTTCTGTAAGATCTCTACATCCTTATATACCTGCACACATAGTTAGATGGTGCCAGATGGATTTTCCCAGTTGAGCGACGCAAATACCATTTATACATTACTACACAGGGCTACCTAAGCAGGAATGGCGCACTGAACCGTGACCCACTACAAACATTTCCTCATCGTAGCTATATAGTATATTAATACAATATAGCATTATTTATTTTAGGATATTTTTCTAGAAATGCTATTTATTTGATAAGCCTTTTCTCGTGCTGCTCAAAAACCACAGTCGGAAGGTCATCAGAAGAGCCTCCAGCGTATCGTGGAGACGAGCGGCGGCCTCTTGTTTGTCTGTTTGCCTTTTGCATTATCCTTCGCCTGTATTAGAAAGGGTTTTCCCCGAGCCGATCGAAAACAACGCGGATGTCAATGCGCTCTGTGCTACGAAGTATGCAGCCGAAGCACCAGAGCCGTCGAGCAGTTGCATCTCTGGACGGCCGGCAGACAGCCTTCTAAACAAAACGCTTAGATATCGGCAGAAGGATTTTTGAAAATACCGTGTATAGGCAGCTAAATACGAAACGAGCAGATTTTTGTAGCTTTCTGCCTACAAGAAAAACAGTAGTACCGAAACTGACGCGCGAACAATTGTGTGCAATATAAATATTAGCAGGGACACAGATATTAGCTATCCTTCCTAAGTTGACTTGACAAAGCCCTTTGCTTCGTTGCGCTGCATTAACGGTCACAGGACGCCGAAGCGCACAGAAAAGCTGTTCAACAAATTACGCAACTGTCCGGGAAACTGATGAACGATACTAGACAAGAAAGGAGGTCAAACTGATGACCCAAAAAAAAACATCTTCCCAGTGACTTGACGCTTAGTATACTTATTTTAAAAAAATTATCTAAACTACACGATAAGCTATGAACTTGAGAGTAGTGGTTTTGACTAGCTAAAACACTCGAGCCGCACTGTTAAATAATCTACATGGATTGTCGTTAGTTTTTTAAAGAGATAGATTTCCTACTTCTGTAGAGAAAGCACACGTTCTTAGGGGTCGACAGTCCAGTTCTATAGATGAAAATTCAATGGACCCGATTATAAATACTGAACCCGTTTTAACTATTGTGTATGAATAAACATATCCCTGTAGTTTTCCAGGAAAACATTCTGCATGCTTTTAGCCTTCTATTATGTACGGCATATTGAATTCACGCGATCAGGCGATTCGTCTTCGATCAGCTGGAAAAATGTTTTTTCTTCAGACTAAACAACTGAGCTAATTGTTCAAATAAAAAATCAAAAAAGAGTTACAAATAGAATCATCTCTAGTATGCCGGCTTACAATATTTACGAAGCCTTTTGAAAATCTCCATTCGACATCAACGTTACAAACTGTCGTGGATGCACCACCTATAGCTTCTGACGCCTATCCGTCTTCGTTCGTCTGTGTTGGACAGAGTGCATGCATAAATAAAAATCACACTAACGTCTGATCCTACTTGTTTTCTTTTTAACAAGTCTGATGACCATTGACCTTTGCAGGTCACCAACCCGCCAATGTCTCACAACACTGCGCAGAAGGAAGTTGGGTACAGAGATTGGATCCTGATGACCGGTGCTAGTGGAAGGCCGACGACGTATACCGTCATGATAGTACTACGTGGTTTTCGCGACTCTATGTTGCTGATGAGCTGCTGCAGACTGCGCTGTCTCTGAGAAACGGATCGTCAGAGACAGGTCGGATAGTCAAGAAACGGGGAAAGCCCCGTCACACGTCACGTAATGTAAACTGGCAATGCGGCCGAGAAGAGCTGAACATCGTCTCATTTTTCTTCTGCTTTTTCTGCTTCTTCTTCTTCTATAAATTGTCCTTCTCCGGATCGGTGGGAAATTGCTGTGTTTTTATGCGGCACTCTGCCCTTACACTAAAGGAGAACGAAGTACGGGTAGACTTCAAGTCGACGCTTTGGTCCGTCGTTTGTGCTAGCCAATAGACTTCTAGAACCAATAAAATCATTAAGGTAATAACATTGTTATGGAAAATAATGTCCCGCAATAGTCTTTTTCGTATAGTATATTAAAAATTACTTGCGACTTTCAACAGGATGTGAATTTGCGACGAACCTAAACGAGACACCCTCCCTTCGAAGTTCTTCGGTCAGTTGCGTTCTGTTGTGTCATTTTCATTTATCTATCAGGACGAGATCAGTAATAGTGGTTTCTGTTGTGTTATTCTACGGTATTTCGCACTTTAGGTTCAGTAAGACGAGTGTACCTTGATAGCGTCTGTCCCTATACTCCCACTTGCTTTCGCAGCAACTTAATGTAGTGTGATAGAACCTATTTAAAAATAAGAGCGACCAAAAAACGTTTGCGCAAAAGCAGCCGCTATTACCCAAGACGTGAATTAAGGCCAGATTATCTTCAACGACCAAACATGGTCAAATATACATAATACTAACTGATTGTTGCTGATAAAATCCTAACAAACGTAAAAAAATGACATTAATTGCTATACGCATTGTAGTGCTGATCAAAGATACTATTCCGATAAATATATTACGGACGTTAACTTGCATCTTACAGCTAGGACGGGTTTAGAGAAAGCGCTCAGGCACTGTAAGCTGTACTTTAATGGTACGATAGTTAATGTCCAAACTTGATTCATACCTATGTCTTTTTTCCTAACTATACATAGCATATATGTGAACTATTTCTATCTATTTATTTCTGACATGGTACAAATAAATATGGCGCCCTTAACCATTCCGTTTCATATCATACAATAGCGTATTATAAGTAATGAGCATAACATTTGTCTAACTAATACATACTTTTGTCAAAAGGTGTAAAGTTTTTTCAGTCGAAGCGATGAACTGCCATCATCGTAAGCGTGCTTTGTGTATGCACGTGCCTGTGCGTTCACCTAAAGTTCGCATCATCTGATGTCATCATTGTGCCCATACGCGGCAAGAATCATTCATGGTTAATCTACTTGGGATTTAGGATAAAACCGTGAGCATTCTGGTATACTTACGTTGATTGCCGGATAGTCTGAGGTATGGCTCTGCACGCTTTGTAGCACGTTCTGACTACTTGATAAGGGGATGGCGGGCGACTGAAATATGGAGCCAGATAGAAACCCTGAATCTTGCTGATCCGTCTCCGATTGACTTGGCTGCAACAGACGACAAAGCAAACAAACTATTGAATTATCTCCGGACCTTAATGGGTAAGATCATGTTTGGTAGCTGTTCGAGTTTTCATGATGCCAGTAGGAGGTTCATCCTTACATAATTCCTACGAATTACACATTTTCTTAATTAAAAGCTATATTATTAGAAGCTCAAAAAATGAACTCATCTCAAAAATAGCACTAATAAGCAAAAATGCACATGTATTTCACATTACCGTAAATAGGTTTATGCTCTTTTTGATTAATTTTCGACCCATTCAGTCTAACCCTTGGACTCTTTAGCAGCTCAATACTGAGCAGTAACAGCACGGTATTTTTTTCGTAGTATTTTTTAAATCTATAATATCAACGGGTGTTCGTTCTCTAAAATTACGAAAATAAATCTCTAGCACCCGCCATGATGGATTTACGATTCCAAAAAAACTGTTTTCTTAGTACCGAGAACTGCTTATGAACGCATGCTCCCTAAGGTCAACTAGCCGCCCAGTTTATTTCCACAAACATGCATATAGTGTAAAGGATCACGTTATTTTAGCCACTTTTAGTTGTTGCGACTTTTGAACAAGTGAGCATATACTAACTAGCCAAAGAGGTCTTTCGCATCGTACGACTTTCGCCCAACCTTAGATAGCTGGTGTATTCCGCGAAAAAAGTCTTTTTTCTTAGAAACCATTCATTCATTCATTCATTCATCGACCCATTTGCAAACATCGGCCTTTGTTCCGAGATGTTTACATCTATGGCTATGTTGCATCGGTCGAGATAACTGATAATCAATTGGGTCCGTGTCCGAACTGTACACCGGATAGCTTAGTGTATATCGTTAAAGGTTCGTTACCGCTTGGTGGGTTACCCAAGTAGTATCTGATATAGCGTCGCCCTGCTCCAATGGAAAGTCCTTTTCTATAAACTTCAGGGCTTAAAAAATAAGCTGATTCGTGTAACAGTCTTCTTTTTTGTGCTTTGAATAACTCATAGTATAACACCGCCATATCATGTCAACGTAGACATTTGATTATAAATATTCCTTCGTGGTGTTGAACT